ATTCCCTAAATCAAGAGCCCCTCACCAACATCAAGGAACCTTCCTTGAGGGGACTAAGAGAGTAAAATCCAAATGAATCTTAATGCTAGAAATCCACAGTAAAGAAAAAAGTAATTGTGTATACTCCCCAGTACTTAAAATGAAATGCAACACCGACTTTTAATTTCCTCATTATTATTAGTATTATAATAAAGCAGCACTAAACCACAAGGGCTATACAGCAATTTCCTCTTCAGCACTTGAACCCTCTTCTTTGCAGGAAGGAATTACAATGGAACCCCGGAGTTTGAACGTAATTGGTTCCCAGGTGGTCAAACTGAAAAGTTCAGTGTCCAAATCAGTATTTCCCATTGAAATACATGTAAATGTAATTGGTTCTGGGCCACAAAAAGTTACCCTCCCCCCCCAAAAAAAAACAATATACAGTAAGGCCCCGCTTTACGGCGTTCCGCTAATACGGCGATGTCAAATTATGACCAAAATTTGCTATACGGCAAGCGGTCTTTTAAATACGGCGCCCCCCACCTGGTTTGTTTACATTTTCCGTGACCACATCCATTATGTCAGGAAACTCCAAAATTTCAAGTGTTTTAAAGTTACTGCATATTTTATATGTACTCTGATAATTATGCTTATGTGTACCTGTACTTAAATATACTTACACACTGTGCTGGTGTGCAGGTACACATTAAAATCGCTAAGTCTCTCTACTCATGATGCCAATACTACTACGTAATAATAATCACTCTTGGGCATACTAAATGTCTTATTTTTACATCAATATAGGCATTTTCATTAATCCATATATGATATTTTCCTCAAAATTATATATGAAACCCATTACATAGCATATAAACATGATACATACACTCAGAATAAAAATGATGTAAATATGAGATTTGTAGGTGGTGTCGGAAGAATTACGTTTTCTCTAGTCAAACACTGGGGGGTAACTAGAAAAATATTCTTTTCGTATTCCTTTACTCAATGTATAGCAATTCACGACCCTTGTGGGTTTAGTGCTTTTTATAATAAATAATAATTAATAATAATATTAATAATAATAATAATATTATTAATAATAATAATATTATTATTCACTCTAAAAATGGTGTGTTGCTGTTTGTTTATTCTGAACTAACTTGTACACAATGTAAGTATTTGTATTGTGAGGTAATTATTAAAATAAAATATTGAGGTAAATGTTTTACAAACTTACAAATGGACGTGAATGAACTAAAAGTAGACACACATTAATACGCATTTCGCCTGACCAAGTGATCATCCACTACTTGTTTAGTTTGTGTTCTTACAGTGTCTCAACTCTGTATCTCGTTCTCTCTCTCGTTTACTCTTTCGTTAACTAGTTGGCTCTCATTGACGATGGCGTCTAAGGTTAGCTGTAATAAAAAGAGAAGTCGTAAGCCTCTTACTTTAAGTGCCAAGTTAGAGGATGATGGTGTGCAATTTTGATTTTATTCAATAAGCACCCTGCCACTCACCTCTCACACATTAATATTAATATTATTAATAATCATATTTTAGTGCTATAAAAACATTTTTGTAAATAATGTAATGACTTAGTTGACTGGCACAGGTGAGCTACTGTTGATTATTATTATTATAATAATCAAAAAGAAGCGCTAAGCCACAAGGGCTATACAGTTCTACTGTTTAGAGGGGAGTCACCTTCCACAAAAATATCCAGCAACTCCACCTCTGAAGTGATGCGGTCTCCTTCCTGTCTGCACTAGCACCGGAACATTCTGGGGACTTACAAAATCAAAATTAAGCGCTAAATCCACTGGAGCCCTTACGGTTTAGCGCTTCTTTTTTATTATAATAAACAACCCACTGGGATCATACATCACTGCTCTGGGGACTCAGAACATGTAGTTGCATTCGATTTTTTTTTTCAGTTTTAAAAGGAAACTTCCAATGTGGACTGTCTGCCTAGCCCTCATAACCTTCCTAGTGTTTAACCACTATCACTGAAGGAACTGATGATGTGGCTCACCAGAGCAATGTCAGGGTGCCGTTTCTCCACTATGCTCTGCATTTTTGACTAAAAAAAATTCATCTGTGGAAATTTTGGCATTGCAAACCACCACCTAAACATTTGAAGAAAATTCCTCTTCCTGTTGAGTTCCCTGCTGTGGACATTTTTCAACTCCACATCCTCCTTGTTCACCTCTAACCCCATAGGCCCACCTAGGGAGACGATTTCCTGAACCACTGGCTCTGCTTGCCAAGAGTCAGGCCACAACTTCCACTAAACAGAGGTAAGAGTTAAATGTCCTTTGGGAAACTTCTCAACGCTTTAATCACCAAACTCTCACTGGAGGATGTTAAACAGACTCTTCCAAATGTCTGAGCTAGGTCAGTTTCAGAGGTTACTTCGAAGCACTATAATGGTTTCCAACAACTGAATTGTAAACAAGGAGTGTTTGATCTCCAGAAAAACTTTCAAAGACCATGTCAATTTTTTTCTCAACAAAATGGTTTAGACTCCTGTATGTTTGAACAGCAAGGTTTCACTATCATTATTACAATCAAAACTTAAGTGCTAAACCTTCAAATCTTTACAGGAAGGAAAAGTGCTTTTAATTCAAGGCTATTTAATTCACGGCTATTTAGGAAGCACTAAACCGATAAATGACATGCAGCACCTGCTGTAATAAGCTTTATTCAGGCTCATTATTATTATCAAAAAGCGCTAAGCCACAAGGGAATCAGACCAGGTCCAACTCCTCTGATCAAAACCTCTCACTTGTTGAATGAAAATTCCGATGTCAGCATCCTTGTATTCAGTGAATCATTTTGATTAAGAAGACCAAAGTTGCTGAATGGCTCTTCAACAAAGGGAAGGATAGTTTAATTTAATTATTTATTCTCAAGATTAATATTATTATAATCAAGGGGAAGCGCTAAACCCATAGGATTATACAGCGCCTGGGGGTGATGTGGAAGGCATTCAGGCTTAATTCCGGGAACGAGCACAGATCCAATTCCCTAAATCAAGAGCCCCTCACCAACATCAAGGAACTTTCCGAGGGGTTTATTCTCAAGAGATCAAGACTGAAGGAAGAGACAGGCATTCCCAAGACTGAAGTTTAAAGTGCATTTTTTTGTGTGGGGGTTGGGGGGGGGGGAGAAGGGGTGGTATTTGACAATCAAACCATACCACGGGGAGTTAGAACTTGTTTTCAGTCATTACGATTTTGCAAGTCATTTGATAACGGCTAAGAAATTTAACCATAGCACCGTATTATACATTCATAAAATGCTAAACCTGCAGGGGGTCATACAGCACCAGTGGGGATATTACAGTGCTAAACTCTCAAATATTTGTCATACAGCACTGCAGGGCAGGATGTGCTAAGATGCAATGTGCTATGATCACGACACCATGAATGGTGAGCAGTATGCAAATGGTACACATTAGGGAGGCATTCAGGTTTGACCCTGCCTTGGTGGGATATGGCTTTGTTGAAAGAATCATGGGGGGGAACGCTAAACCCATTGGATTATACAGCGCGAGGGGGGGGGGGGATGGAAGGTATTCAGGGAGCCGGAGCACGGATCCAATTCCCTAGATCATGAGCCCCTACCAGCATCAAGGAACCTCCCTTGAGGGGTCTGAGATGAAGGAACTTTCAGTACTTTTATTTCATGCAAGAAAGGCAGGGAAACTGATGGGTTCATACGTTTCTCTCTGGTCCAGCTTATAAAAATTCACATCCTTGGCCCCAAGAGAAGGGTACTTGGATGCAGGTGAAAGTCGATTCCATGAATTTATTGCCTACCTTGGATCAAATCAGATTACTCACCTATACATTGGTTAATTTTTTTGAATTTTCAAGTGCAGCATAGACTTTCCACTTGTGCTTGTTTTAGCACTCGCACATTATCGCATCTCTTCAAGTGTTTGAAGCATTCTAAACATTCATGAGGGAATATGCCCAAGGGAGGGACAGACTCAATTCCTTTGATGAGAAACCATCTTATTTGTGGAATAAATACTAGAGTGGAACAAAAAATATTCAATAGTGCTAAACCCAGAGGTTATACAACACCATAGGAAATGGAAGGCACTTACTGTCCAATGAATTGAAACTGTTCCAATTCCTTAAGACATTCCTTAATAGCATTATCATCAAAAGGAAGCGCTAAACTTACCAGGGTCATACAGCACTGCAGGGTAGGAATTGATGATCCAAGGATAAATAAGGGTGGAGATGACAAAGGTAACGTTAGGAGGGGCTGTAAGAAGTGCTAAAGGAAGGATTATCGGTGTGTAATAAATCAGTTGCTGTTAAAACGTTGAAGAACGAGTCAAAGGTGACAACGTATGAAAATTCCGAGTGTTCGTTGGCAGTCCAATAGAATATGGGAAATTGAAACAGGAACAAGACAATTCTCACAAAATGAAGAGGATACTTCTCTATGAGACACCCACAAGTTAGAAGTGTGTCCAACGTGAAGACGAGAGTATGGTCTCCAACCTCAGCATCGATGACAAGAAGGCTAGAAACCCAAACTTTGATAGAATGTAATTTGTTGAGTCATGTCAGGCCAATGTTGTTGAGACGGTGGGGAGAGATTACAGCAAAATAGTCAAGAAAATGAAATACCTCTAGCCCCTTACCAGCATCAAGGAACCTAACCCCCATCCCAGGGATATTCCTGGAAATGCAGTATGTTCACGCCACCTATAAATACTGATAAATTCCAGCTTCTACCTGCAGATTATTTTTATTCTGCAAGCACAGTATCAACATTTAAGTCCTTAGCCATTATTATTCCTATTGAATGTAGATGTCAAAGGGTTTTGCCTTTTAATCCTGTTAAGTACTTTTGTATAAATCTTTGGGAAGCTTAAACCGGGACGATTCCTTTGCAAAGATTGCTCCATATGGAAAAAGCACTAAATGTTTAGTGCACAGCGACTTTCTAATTCAAATTTTACAATGGCTGTTTTTGAAGTGTAAGCACACAACTTTCACAATTTTTTTTGTAGTTTTATTTAATTAATTTGAGGGTTACAAAGTTTCTTGGTCCATACACAAATAATTCTCTTTAATGATACAATGAAAAATAATATCCTCTATACAAATATAAAGAAAAATAGGAAAAAAGTTCCTAAAATTACAATGGAATATTTGGTTAAAAAAGGAAACAAAATATTTTATAATCAACGACATGCTGACATGACTAACTTAACCGGCTTTTGGACAGTGAGGTTTACTAACAATGACGACGTTGGCTTAAGCAGACAGCAGTCCCGTAGACAAGGAGGAATGGCGCAGGTGTCCGCACACTGTAATGATGGGGTGATCCGAACTTTCCCTACCCTTGACAACCGAGCCTGTCAAGTACTTAGTGGTAACGTGCGCAACCTCTAATCTCCTAGAAAGGGGATGGTGCAGCGGTAAGCGGTCACCTCCGGCCCGGACTTCAGTAAGCTGTAATAGATACCAACAGCGTCAATGGTAAACTCAAAAACTAACTACTGATAACTACTGAATAGAACACCTCACTTGCCAAACATGCCATGCCATCTTAAAAATTCACTTTTCAAAGACTACATCAGCATGTTGGAATGGGGAAAATTCCAATTCTGTGCATACAATATACTAAGGTCAAGAAGAAATATTTTATGATACACGTAAGATGAGAAACCTTGCCAAGTGAGGCCCCATCATCAGTTCAGTTACAAGAAGACTCAGAGGATCGGTTGACACTTGTTTCGGTGATGATGAGTCGCCGAGGCAAGAGTTGAGGCGGCCACTTGGCAAGGCCCCAGTTGGAGAGCAGGAGGCAGGAGCTTGACTAGGGCAGCTGCGGGGTCACTGCCGTGGCCAGTTCAGTGCACTAGGCATGGCCCCCATTATGCCTAGGCCACCACCAACAGTACCAGCTACGGAGGAAGCTTGGTTGAACATGCCCGCAGCCATGCTGGCTCCCACATTCTGGACGGGTGGACGTTGGGGGCCATTAAACTGGTTCTGGGTAGCTGATTGGCTCATTGAAGCCTTCACAGAACCAGAACCCATGAGTGGAGGCGGCCCATTCAGCCGGGCCTGGCCTGCACCCACCCCATTGGGCACAGAATTGCTATTGCCTCCGCCTCTAAACTGGTTAAATCTTCCAAGCCCTTCAGACGTACCATATCCGTTTCCATTGCTGTAGCCGTTCCTTCCTCCACCACCACCACCACCACCCACACGTCCACGATCACGATCGCGCCCAAAACCTCTCCTGTCATCATCACGTCCCCTCCAACGATTACGTCCTGTTAAAAGAATAAATTTCTATTTATACAAATCTTTTCAGTCGAATGCTTGGAAAGTATACCTCAAAAACAAGAAAAAACTTCAAACAGCTTAAAAACTACAGGGTAACGCTACCTTTGCCACCACCACCTCGAGACATATCCATTATCTCGTAAAGACGTGGGTTAACTACTTGGTTTGCTTCTTTCAGCACATCTATTAAATCCTTAGCTTGCTTGCAGTTGTCTGCTGTGAAGAATGTGTATGCTGTACCAGTTTTGTCTGATCGGCCAGTTCGGCCAATACGATGTACGTAATCTTCAGAGCACGAAGGGTAGTCGTAGTTGATCACAAACTTTACGTCATCCACATCTACACATTAAAAACAAGTGTTAAAAAATCAACGTGGAACTAGCTAATAAAACTGCCAAGTTCAAAGCTTTAAGCACAGAAAGCAATTTATGAGGTTATTAGTGGTGTTCATTAAAGCTGATTAAAAAAACTTGGCAGTTGTCAGGGCCATTTCACAATGAAGTTAAGTACAAAGACGGGTAAGCCAAAAGTGCATGCATAAAGTAAATATGAAATGGCCCATATAATGCTGAATTCTAACAAAGCTAGACCGCATTTCCTTAATTTCATCATTAAACAAGCCTCTTCCACAACACCTGTGGCTGGATACACTCGAGCCCTCAATGGGTGCACACTCATGACTAAACAATCAAGTTTTAATTAAAACAAATATTAGATCAAGAGCATGTTACTAGAACTAAAAATTACTGCGAGCATGCACCCCACATGCCCCCAGCAACCACTGCTTCCCGCGGAGATACCTACGTTCCACATGTGGCAGAGCGGGAGAGGCAGCGGCAAGTGGGGGCCGGGGTGGACCCTAAAGGAACATCCATTCCCTGGGCTGAGGGCCCAGTGTTTGGGGTCAGGGCCACACAAGGGCCCGTTCAGGCCCCATGAACCACAGGTCAGGGGCTTGTGGCTTGTCACGATGCTACAGTAGTGAATCAATTGACAGTTCCAGGATGGACGCCAGGTGAGACCAGTGCGGACTGCTGCAGACCAGAGTGGGTCGGTGGGGACCAACACAGGCTGCAGGCGACCGTGAACTTTGGTCATCGTTGACCTCTGCCACCTCCTGATGGCCAAGGCAACATGACCATCTGTCTGGTGGCACCAGCGGACACCTGGCACCAATGCGTATTCGTGCTCAGTGATGCACGACGAGTCTCAGAGGCACCGGAGCCTAATGCAACGAAACATCCTCCGTGCATTATCTCTCTATGAGTGCCTCTGCAAAAGAGAAGACCAGACTGAATTAACAGTGGCTCCATGCAAGGGAACTGCTTCCTTAACCTCTGGAGGCACCCACAAGTATCTAAGGGAGGCTTTTTTTTAATTATATCAATATAATCAATGTCACATAACCAACAATAAGCTAGCATATGACAGCTTTAGTTACATGGAAACTTACATTAACCCTACTGTTCTAACAACTACCACATTTTGGAATCTTCTACTTGAAGTCGATTTGAACTGTGTATCCAATTTACAGTCCTCAAAACAGATAATACATCAACCTCCTTGTAAGGTCACAATGTAAAATCAAAAGTTTCGAGCAAGTCATGTTTATAAAGTAAAATTTGCATAGCCAGTCCATATCATCTTCAGTAGAGGAGACACTCAAATATGGTCAAATCATGTAAATTAAAAGCTTTGAAGTCAATGCTCTGATGTAATAACATAGGTGTCACAAGTCTGGACAATGATGCACGTTTACACCTGCATCATGACCAGACCATCACTCCAGAGCCTTAAGAAGCTGTAAACAACCACAGGTGTGGAGCCTGTCTACATCATACAGGTGGAAACCGTAGCCAAAGTCAGCACATGTGATCACTTGCATCATTGCATCTCAAGCCAAAGGCTTTTCCCACTATATGAAACCACTAAATGTACAGTCTGGACTTAATCTTGGTATCCACCCTTATTAAATGTCATGAAACCCTCCCACACATCCCAAATTAACAATTTATACTTACCTAGTCCTCGCGCAGCAACATCTGTGGCTACCAAAATTGGTGCCCTTCCAGATCGAAATTCTGAAATTTGCAAAAAGTATTACATCAAGAAGTAAATAAATATAACACACTATATCAACATTCCTAACATCCAAGTATTTTCTACCTTAACTCACCACTTAAAACCCAGTCTCTTTCTTGTTGAGATTTATCTCCATGGATACACATTGCTGGCCATCTGGATAAGAAAAAAATAAGTAAGAAATCAATACAGTCTACACTTCATTAATTCAATATCATTTAATAACAAATGTTAGTTCTTACAATTACAAGCTACAATTTACAGACCCAAGGGACACAACATGCTACAAGTGATTGGTAATAAACTTGTGCATTTGCTGTGGGGGGACAAATTTAAACAGCTACTACTTCATATATGCAAGAAAACCTCTCCAGGTCAGATGGGCACTTTAACTAGAGGCATCTAGAATGGTGCATACTACCAACATGCAGGATGCCTCTTTCTTATCTTACCCAGTACTCCTCAACCCACGAGTAACATCCTCCACCTTCCTCTTGGTTTCGATAAAGATTATAGTCTTGTATGCCCTCTCCTGCGCCATCTCATTGAGCAACTGGCGCAGCCTACAGAAAATAGGGAAAGGGGGATGTAAAGGAAATGCAACAAGCAGGCATCACAGACTTTGCGAACTTTTGGATACTTAAGCCATTTGGAAAAAGATTCCTCAAATGCAAGTGACATCAGCTACAGCAACCAAAACAGCAAAGTCTGCTCTGTGTCCCAAAGGCCTGAGGTAGCTTCAGGTAGAAGAATGTCACCGAGATCCTTAGGATCTATCATAAAAGTGCATTTTCTTTACCCTTCGCGTCTCATTCGCCTGGTCAAATCGTCGACTTTTCTTTTTGTTTCAGCAAACACGATGATCTTGCTTTCCTTTTCTGCCATGATTTCTTCAAGTAGCTGCCGGAGTCTATGGGGCAAGGCAAATCATAAAACAAACATCTATGTTCTGAGGGGCTACATGAGCTCCAATGTTTTAAGCCTTATAATTATATTAGTACAATATTACCAATATCCACTGAAGATTAAACTTGTGACACAAGTAGATGTGTGTGTTATCTATATATAATGTATTTGTATACAAACCTACATGAATACAAATACATAAACTGTATAACATTTCATTCTTATATACATAAACCTGAGCCACAAGCATTCATGGCATTTTAATACTGGTAAACAAGATAAGACATGCATTCAGTAAATTGAGGTGCAAAAATTATTTGTATATAAACAGTATTCAAGTATTTCAACTTAATTTGCTAGAAATTTCTCAAATATTCATGTATATTTCAGTATTAATTAATTCACTAACTTGGTATCTTTTTCAACCTCCTGGCAAACATCAACAATTTGGAGAATATTATGGTTGGCAGCTAGGGAAAGTGAACCAACATTGAGCTGTATGTAGTCCTTTAAGAAGTCCTCTGCTAGATTCCTCACCTCCTTTGGCCATGTTGCTGACCACATAAGAGTTTGTCTATCAGGCTGAAAAAGAAAAAAACATTAAAAGCCAAGTTCAGATTTTTTTTTTCAATAAGACTGCCATCTCCCACCTAGGCAGGGTGACCCAAAAAGAAAAAATTGCCAAAATGAATACTTTCATTATCCTAGTACACATCCCTCCAAACTGCCAATATCCTAAACCCCTCCTTTAAAGTGTAGGAATTTTACTTCCCATTTCCAGAACTCAACTCCGGCTATATAAAAACAACAGGTTTCCCTGAATCCCTTCATTAAATATTACCCTGCTCACATTCCAACAGCTTGTCAGGTCCCAAAAACCATTCATCTCTATTCAAGCCTACCACACTCGTGTACGCTTGCTGGAAGTCCAAGCCCCTTACCCACAAAACCTCCTCTACCCCCTCCCTCCAACCTTTTCAAGGACAACCCCCTACCACGCCTTCCTTCCCCTGCAAATTTATACGCTCTCCATGTCATTCTACTTAAATCCAATCTCTCTTAAATGACCAAACCACCTCCACCCCTCTTCAGCCCTCAGACTAATACTTTTATTAACTTCACACCTCCTAATTTCCACACTTTGTATTCTCTGCATATTTACACCACACATTGCCCTTAGACAGGACATCTCCAATGCCTCCAACAGCCTCCTCGCTGCAGCATTTACAACCCAAGCTTCACATCCATGTAAGTGTTTGTACCACTATACTTGCATACATTCCCTTTGCTGCTTCCATTGGTATGTTTTTTGCCTCCAGCAGGCATGCGTGAGCGTGTTTGATAGGAGTGAATGGAGACAAATGGTTTTTAATACTTGACGTGCTGTTGGAGTGTGAGCAAAGTAACATTTATGAAGGGGTTCAGGGAAACCGGCAGGCCGGACTGGAGTTCTGGAGATGGGAAGTACAGTGCCTGCACTCTGAAGGAGGGGTGTTAATGTTGCAGTTTAAAAACTGTAGTGTAAAGCACCCTTCTGGCAAGACAGTGATGGAGTGAATGATGGTGGTGAAAGTTTTTCTTTTTCGGGCCACCCTGCCTTGGTGGGAATCGGCCAGTGTGATAAAAAAAAAAATATATACCTCAACACGCCACTCACCTTTTTTCCCCTCATCAATTCTATGGTTAACCTTGACCTTCATAAATGCATCCGCTGACACATCATCTCCCAAGTATCTGACAACATTCACTTCTTCCATACTACTACTATCCAATGTGATATCCAATTTTTCTTTATCTAAATTATTTGATACCCTCATCACCTCACTCTTACCTATGTTCACTTTCAAATTCCTACCTTTATACACACTCCCAAACTCGTTAACTAACCTTTCCAACTTTTCTTTAGAATCACCTATAAGCACAGAATCATTAGCAAAATAACTGTCAACTCCCACTTTGTATTTGATTCCCCATAATTTAATCCCACCCCTCTTCCCAACACCCTAGCATTTACTACTTTTACAACCCCATCTAGGTAGTAGGTTGGTAGACAGCAACCACCCAGGGAAGTACTACCGTCCTGCCAGATGACTGTGAAACAAAAACCTGTAATTGTTTTGCATGATGGTAGGATTGCTGGTTTCTTTTTCTGTCTCATAAACACGCTAAGATAACAGGGATATCTTGCTACTCCTACTTACACTTTGGTCACACTTCACAGACACGCACATGCATATATATATATACATACATCTAGGTTTTTCTCCTTTTTCTAAATAGCTCTTGTTCTTTTTTATTTCTTCTATTGTCCATGGGGAAGTGGAAAAGAATCTTTCCTCCGTAAGCCATGCGTGTCGTATGAGGCGACTAAAATGCCGGAGCAATGGGCTAGTAACCCCTTCTCCTGTATACAATTTCTAAAAAAGAGAAGAAAAAACTTTATAAAACTGGGTTGCTTAAATGTGCGTGGATGTAGTGCGGGATGACAAGAAACAGATGATTGCTGATGTTATGAATGAAAAGAAGTTGGATGTCCTGGCCCTAAAACGAAACAAAGCTGAAGGGGTAGGGAGAGTTTCAGTGGGGGGAAATAAATGGGATTAAATCTGGGGGTATCTTGAGAGAGTTAGAGCAAAGGAAAAGGGGTAGCAGTAATGTTTAAATGATCAGTTATGGAAGGAAAAAAAAGAGAATATGAATGTGTAAATTCAAGAATTATGTGGATTAAAGTAAAGGTTGGATGCGAGAAGTGGGTCATAATAAGCGTGTATGGCACCTGGAGAAGAGAGGAATGCAGAGGAGAGAGAGAGATTTTGGGAGATGTTAAGTGAATGTATAGGAGCCTTTGAACCAAGTGAGAGAGTAATTGTGGTAGGGGACTTGAATGCTAAAGTAGGAGAAACTTTTAGAGAGGGTGTGGTAGGTAAGTTTGGGGTGCCAGGTGTAAATGATAATGGGAGCCCTTTGATTGAACTTTGTATAGAAAGGGGTTTAGTTATAGGTAATACATATTTTAAAAAAAAGAGGATAAATAAGTATACACGATATGATGTAGGGCGAAATGACAGTAGTTTGTTGGATTATGTATTGGTAGATAAAAGACTGTTGAGTAGACTTCAGGATGTACATGTTTATAGAGGGGCCACAGATATATCAGATCACTTTCTAGTTGTAGCTACACTGAGAGTAAAAGGTAGATGGGATACAAGGAGAATAGAAGCATCAGGGAAGAGAGAGGTGAAGGTTTATAAACTAAAAGGGAGGCAGTTAGGGTAAGATATAAACAGCTATTGGAGGATAGATGGGCTAATGAGAGCATAGGCAATGGGGTCGAAGAGGTATGGGGTAGGTTTAAAAATGTAGTGTTAGAGTGTTCAGCAGAAGTTTGTGGTTACAGGAAAAGTGGGTGCAGGAGGGAAAGAGGAGCGATTGGTGGAATGATGATGTAAAGAGAGTAGTAAGGGAGAAAAAGTTAGCATATGAGAAGTTTTTACAAAGTAGAAGTGATGCAAGGAGGGAAGAGTATATGGAGAAAAAGAGAGAGGTTAAGAGAGTGGTGAAGCAATGTAAAAAGAGAGCAAATGAGAGAGAGTGGGTGAGATGTTATCAACAAATTTTGTTGAAAAAAAGAAAAAGTTTTGGAGTGAGATTAACAAGTTAAGAAAGCCTAGAGAACAAATGGATTTGTCAGTTAAAAATAGGAGAGGAGAGTTATTAAATGGAGAGTTAGAGGTATTGGGAAGATGGAGGGAATATTTTGAGGAATTGTAAATGTTGATGAAGATAGGGAAGCTGTGATTTCGTGTATAGGGCAAGGAGGAATAACATCTTGTAGGAGTGAGGAAGAGCCAGTTGTGAGTGTGGGGGAAGTTCGTGAGGCAGTAGGTAAAATGAAAGGGGGTAAGGCAGCCGGGATTGATGGGATAAAGATAGAAATGTTAAAAGCAGGTGGGGATATAGTTTTTGGAGTGGTTGGTGCAATTGTTTAATAAATGTATGGAAGAGGGTAAGGTACCTAGGGATTGGCAGAGAGCATGCATAGTTCCTTTGTATAAAGGCAAAGGGGATAAAAGAGAGTGCAAAAATTATAGGGGGATAAGTCTGTTGAGTGTACCTGGTAAAGTGTATGGTAGAGTTATAATTGAAAGAATTAAGAGTAAGACGGAGAATAGGATAGCAGATGAACAAGGAGGCTTTAGGAAAGGTAGGGGTGTGTGGACCAGGTGTTTACAGTGAAACATATAAGTGAACAGTATTTAGATAAGGCTAAAGAGGTCTTTGTGGCATTTATGGATTTGGAAAAAGGCGTTATGACAGGGTGGATAGGGGGGCAATGTGGCAGATGTTGCAAGTGTATGGTGTAGGGGTAGGTTACTGAAAGCAGTGAAGAGTTTTTACGAGGATAGTGAGGCTCAAGTTAGAGTATGTAGGAAAGAGGGAAATTTTTTCCCAGTAAAAGTAGGCCTTAGACAAGGATGTGTGATGTCACCGTGGTTTGTTTAATAAATTTATAGATGGGGTTGTAAGAGAAGTAAATGCGAGGGTCTTGGCAAGAGGCGTGGAGTTAAAAGATAAAGAATCACACACAAAGTGGGAGTTGTCACAGCTGCTCTTTGCTGATGACACTGTGCTCTTGGGAGATTCTGAAGAGAAGTTGCAGAGATTGGTGGATGAATTTGGTAGGGTGTGCAAAAGAAGAAAATTAAAGGGTGAATACAGGAAAGAGTAAGGTTATGAGGATAACAAAAAGATTAGGTGATGAAAGATTGAATATCAGATTGGAGGGAGAGAGTATGGAGGAGGTGAACGTATTCAGATATTTGGGAGTGGACGTGTCAGCGGATGGGTCTATGAAAGTGAAGGTGAAACATAGAATTGATGAGGGAAAAAAGGTGAGTGGTGCACTTAGGAGTCTGTGGGACAAAGAAACTTTGCCTTGGAGGCAAAGATGGGAATGTATGAGAGTATGTTTTACCAACGCTCTTATATGGGTGTGAAGCGTGGTGATGAAGTATTGCAGCGGGAGAAGGCTTGGAGATGGGAGATGTCATGTCTGAGGCAATGTTGTGGTGTGAATATAATGCAGAGAGATCGTGTTTGAAGTTAGGAGGAGTGCGGGATTCACCAAAACTGTTGTCCAGAGGGCTGAGGAAGGCTTGTTGAGGTGGTTCGGACATTAGAGAGAATGGAGGAACAGAATACTTCCAAGGTGTATCAGTCTCTAGTGAGATGCAAGGCGAGGTAGGGGTGCCTAGGAAGGGTTGGAGGGAGGGGGTAAAGGATGGTTTTGTGCGATTGGGGCTTTGGACTTCCAGCAGGCATGCGTGAGCGTGTTTGATAGGAGTGAATGGAGACAAATGGTTTTTAATACTTGACGTGCTGTTGGAGTGTGAGCAAAGTAACATTTATGAAGGGATTCAGGGAAACCGGCAGGCCGGACTTGAGTCCTGGAGATGGGAAGTACAGTGCCTGCACTCTGAAGGAGGGGTGTTAATGTTGCAGTTTAAAAACTGTAGTGTAAAGCACCCTTCTGGCAAGACAGTGATGGAGTGAATGATGGTGAAAGTTTTTCTTTTTCGGGCCACCCTGCCTTGGTGGGAATCGGCCGGTGTGATAATAAAAAAAATAAAAATAAAAAAAATCTATAAATATATTAAACAACCATGGTGACATTACACATCCCTGTCTAAGACCTACTTTTACCAGGAAGTCATCTCCCTCTCTTCTATACACCCCAACCTAAGCCTCACTATCCTCATAAAAACTCTTTACAGCATTTAGTAACTTACTACCTATTCCATATACTTGCAACATCTGCCACATTGCACCCCTATCCACTACCATATGCCTTTTCTAAATCCATAAATGCAATGAAAACTTCCCCACCTGTATCTAAATATTGTTCACATATATGCTTCAATGTAAACACTTGATCTACACATCCCCTACCCACTCTAAAGCCTCCTTGCTCATCTGCAATCCTACTGTCTTACCTCTAATTCTTTCAACAACAACCCTACCATACACTTTTCTTGGTATATTCAGTAAACTTATTCCCCTATAATTTTTACAGTATTTTTTGTCCCTGGGCACCTTCCCCTCTTCCATACATTTATTAAACAAAAATACCAACCACTCCAACACTATATCCCCCCCTGCTTCTAACACTTCTGTCATGATCCCGTCATTTCCTGCTGCTTCACCCCCTTTCCATTCTATGTAATGCCTCACGCACCTCCCACACTCGCATCCTGCTCTTGTTCACTCCTAAAAGATGTTATACCTCCCTGGCCAGTGCATGTAATGACTGCTTCCCTCTCTGTCGACATTTAGAAGTTCCTCAAAATATTCCCGCCATCTACCCAATACCTACAGCTCCCCATCTACTAACTCCCCTACTCTGGTTTTTAACTGACAAATCCATTTCTTCCCTAGGCTTTCTTAATTAACTTGTTTATCTCACTCCAAAATTTTTTCTCATTTTCATTAAAATTTCTTGACAGTGCCATTCCCAGAAAAATATTTGCTAAATATAACAAGTCAGTCAAATTAAACTTTTAATATGTATATGGATTTGAACTCACCCGAATCTGATCTACAATTTTTCGGATCTGTGGCTCGAAACCCATGTCCAGCATGCGGTCAGCCTCATCTAACACCAGGTATGTTGTACGCCGTAGATTCGTCTTTCCAGCTTCAAGGAAGTCAATAAGACGTCCAGGTGTAGCAATACATATCTGTAATTGTTACAATGGTACAGTATTTGAAATTTCTTTATAACAAATCAGATAAAATACAATGTTCCATTTTCCCATGTACTTCAAAACTTATTTTTACAAGGGCCATTTCCCCAAAAAGACAGGATCCCCCCCCCCACAAAAAAATTAAATGCAAATGTGACCACATTTAATAATTTCCATCACAGATTACAGCAAGATAATAGCCAAGATTAAGAATGCGTTGGAAATCCACCATTCACTTTTCTCTACCCACATCTATATCCTTCAAGGGTCCATCCTGTAGTTCTTTGGCTTTGTAGCCAGGGTCCAAGCTGTAGTACTATGCCATGAGCTCAGCTCACCCAGATAAGCTGTGAACAGTAAATTTGGGCCTAGATACGAGAGAATGTCTGTGGCAAGTGTGCGTCATATAAAAATCCCACAGCATGCAGCCAGATAAAAAAAATGACTGGATTAAAGCAGTGACTTTGCGGTGTACATTTGCAAGATTTTTACAGTTGTATCCAGTTTCTTGGACTCATTTGATAGAAAGATATATTACAAGAAAGATGATTTTCAATGGGTTTCGTACTTAAAATGGTTTGAAACTGAGCTCAAATAGCAGAAATGTTCGATTTTTGCCGATGCTCAAGAGTAAACAAATGATGTCACGCATCCAATATATGTCAGCTGGTGGGTCTAATGTGCGTTCATGATTGTGCCGATATTATTTAAACAATTATTCCAATCAACTGGAATAATGGAATTTGCCTGAAATGGGGAAAATCACTGATGCACAAATATCACTGACGTAGCAAAATTCGCAAGAGCTCAATTTCATAAATTTTCCATCAAATTTCATACTCTTATTATCTTCAGAAAAAGATTCTCTACCATACAATTTTTTTTTTTTTTTTTGGAAATTCTTGGACCCTGTGGACAAGTTTCAGATGAGGGGTCTGGACCCTGAAAGGGTTAATAGGATGCTGGCAAACAGTGTCAATATTATAACAGACTGCCATTTTGGATTATCCATTACACAAGATTGGATCATTCCCCCCCCCCCACTACAGCTTATACCAAGTTAGAAAGTCTGTTGTGCAAGATTTAACAGTTGGCATACAAGCCTTACCATGCTCTTCTGAAATCTAAATGGATCAGGTGGCATTTTTTTTGTCTTCCCAACACGCCATTAGTCTCCCACCGAGGCAGCCCCCCCCCCCCTAAAAAAAACCTTTCACCATCATTCACACAATCACTGTCTTTGCCAAGGCACACACATGACAGTTCAGGTGTCACTCCAAACAGCAAATATCCCAACCCCTCTCCTTTAACCCTTTCAATGAGAGCCCTGATCACAAACCTGCCTCAGGGTGGAAAAAAATTCTTACCAAAAACTAACATTTGTTTTAGTTTTAAAATAAACAAATTTTACAATCAGTACTTACTTAGATAAGAGGCGTGAAGTTGGCAGCAAACCACTTACGGCAACATCAGCAACTGCCACCCACTTGGTAATATTTTTACTTTTTATTTTTTTTTCTAATTAATTTTTTAAGTAACATTTGTGCCATGTGAGACCAATATAATACATAACGTATACTAGGGTTCTGGTGGCTAAAGCTCTCGCTTCACACGGTTCGATTCCTAGCCAAGGTAGAAACATCAAGCGTGTTTTTTTTTTACACCTGTTGTCTATGTTCACCCATCAGTAAAATGGGTACCTGGGTGTTAATTGACAGGTGTGGGTTGCATCCTTGGACTGACCAAATTTTCCCAAAATGCTCAGCATAACAAGGGGCTTTCTATATAGTAGGATGTCATTGATATCAGCTAGGCCTGTATACCTTGTACATGTATCTGTACTAAATAGTTATTTTTTTTATATCCATTCGTATGCAACAATAACCACGCAAATATATTGTTTACAAAACTTTTTTTACACAAACCCACACTGCCTTCCCCACCGTCCACGCTGTCTTCCCCACCGTCCACGCTGTCTTCCCCACCGTCCACGCTGTCTTCCCCACCGTCCACGCTGTCTTCCCCACCGTCCACGCTGCTCCCACCGTCCACGCTGTCTTCCCCACCGTCCACGCTGTCTTCCCCACCGTCCACGCTGTCTTCCCCACCGTCCACGCTGTCTTCCCCACCGTCCACGCTGTCTTCCCCATCGTCCACGCTGTCTTCCCCACCATCCACGCTGTCTTCCCCACCATCCACACTGTCTTCCCTTTTCACTATCTGTATCTGGTATCCTGGGCATTGTTTTGGTCACAAACTCCTTAAAACCATGAAATTCATCTTCACTGACACTTTCATCTCTATTAGAACTATCACTCAGGAAGTGAAGTCCCAAATTCATTGGGGAGTCAGGTATTTCTTACCGCTAGGCATGGTGAACAAAGACTACCGAAATCGCATTCCCATAATGCACCACTGGCTTACCAATTTTTTTATACTGCACACACTGAGCACATTGACCCATTCTCTCACATGTAGGTCTACCAGCTTTCACCGCTAGGTCTGAATCCATTAGAATTTTGGCATAGTACTACAGCACCAACACTGGCTCGCAAGCCATAGTACTACGGCACCAACAGTGAAAGGGTTAAAGTGCAGGTTTTGTACTTCCCACTTCCAGGACTCAAGTCTGGCTAACCAGTTTCCCTGAATCCCTCCACAAATTATTATTCTGCTCACACTCCAACAGCTCAAGTCCCAAAACTCATTCATCTCCTGCTATCTAACAAACACACCTGCTTATGTCCAAGTCCCTTTTATATAAAACCTCTTACCCCCTCCATCCTTTCCTAGGATGACCTCTACCCCTCCTCTCCACTACAGATTTATACTCTCTCCAAGCCATCCTATTTTATTCCATCCTTTCTAAATGATCAGACCACTTCAACAACCCCTTCTCAGCCCTCTGAATAATACTTAGTAACTCCTCACCTCCTAATTTCCACACTGAATTCTTTGCATAATATTTACACCACACACTGCCCTTAGATATGACATCTCCACTGCCTCCAGCCTCCTCACTGCAGCATTTACAACACTTGCTTCACACCCATGCAAGTGTGTTGGTACCACCACTCTCACACTACTCCTCTGCCTCCACGAATATGTTCTTTGTCTCCACAGATACCTCAACGCACTACCCACCTTTACTTCAATTCTATGGTTTACCTCTTCCTTCATAAACCCATTAACCCTTTGAGGGTTTCGGCCGTACTAGTACGGCTTACCACCCAGGGTTTTTGACGTACTAGTACGCCTAAATTCTAGCGCCCTCAAATCTAGTGGGAGAAAGCTGGTAGGCCTACATATGAAAGAATGGGTCTATGTGGTCAGTGTGCACAGTATATAAAAAATCCTGCAGCACGCAGTGCATAACAGAAAAAAAAACAACCATTTTTTTTTTTAATAAAACAACGACTTTGCACTGTATTTTCGTATGGTATTTATTGTTGCATTCTAGTTTTCTTGGTCTCATTTTATAGAATGGAAGACATATTACAGAAATAGAGATGATTTTGACTGGTTTTACAATGAAAAGTACCTTGAAATCGAGCTCAAAGTAGCAGAAATGTTCAATTTTTACCTAAGTTCAAAAGTAAACAAATCATGCCAAGCGTCCAATACACATCAACTGGCGAGTCTAATATTCTTTCGCAAGTACGCCAATATTATTTATAACATTTTTTACACTAATGCAGTAGTCTGCATAACAGTAAATCTTCTATTTTTTGTGAGAATAAAAATTCAAAGTGGAAAGCAAAAGAATGTAAGAGGGGCCTTGAGACGTGACTAATGAACAGAGAGAAATGTCATTTTAGTGCCAGGAATGTCTTTCTTGTTTATTCTGGACCCTATTCGGAAATTGGCATTTTTTGAAATTTGTGTGAAATTGGCAAAATTGCTAAATTCTGACCACCGTACTGGATAGTTGAAATTGATAAATGGGTGGTTTCTTGCACTCATTCGACAGAAAAATGGAGTTCTAGCGAAATATTCATGTTTTTTGTCAACTAGTACAGTGGAATTGGCTGAAAATGGGGCTCAAAGTGGGCAAGATCGCCGATGCGTAAACATCGCCGAGACCGCTAACTTCGCAAGAGCATAATTCCGTAGGTTTTCCATCAAATTTCAAACTTTTGGTGTCATTATGATCGGGAAAAGATTCTCTATCTTTTCATAAGAGAAAATTATTATTTTTTTTTTAAATTTGGCCGACCCTGAGAACGAGTTTCTGAGAGGGCCTGTCGACCCTCAAAGGGCTAATATGAAATCTCTTTCCACTTTCACAATGGTTTAAAGTACACATTCCAAAAGGAAAAGTAGGGTTCAACTTCAGGCTGCTGTCATGTAGACTTTCTCCCTCATGAACCAGGATAGGTGGCAAAAGGGGTAGGGATGAAATTTTAAGTGGGAGGGGCTTGAGCATCCAGTAGGCATTTAGAGTAGATTACATAAGCATTTAGAGTAGATTACAATAATGAGAGAAGCTCTAAACCTGTAGCATTGTACAATGTATGGATAATAGAAGGCAATCGGTTTCAATCCATGGAATAGTAGAATAGGTGTGCTTCCTTGAATCAAGAGCCCCTCATATACAAGGCAAAAGTAGACAACTGGGCATTTAAGGTGTAATGGGCAACTGGAGTGTAAGCACTTTAACAAGATTCAAGGAAAGTAGTGACTACATCCTTTCTAAAATTAAATTTATCTAATTTAAAATCCATTACTTCAAGTTCTTACACGATTCAATATCCTCAGCGCCACACCATCACTTTTGTTTATGCCAATCTTCCACTTCAATACCTCAGTAAGTTATGCATGACCAGAGCTTTGGTTAAGGTGGGAAAGGAAGAAGGATGGGTAAGGATAGAAATATGGTTTAAGGTTTAAGCCTCACAATCTATGCTTTTATGAAGAGATTCCTTATACAGTGGATTAATTTTACCATCCTTCTGTGTGTTTTCCAATGCATTTATATCCATTCTGTATGGCAACCAAAACTGAGCTGCACAATCTATGCGAGGCCTTACTAGTGATGTAAAAAGCTGAAAAATAACTATTGGACTGCCGTTACTTCTACTTTGTATAAATCAAAGTAGTCTGTTAGCCTTACTGCACACACTTAGGCACTGTTGTCCATTTCAGATTTCTCCTTACCACAACTAAGTCTTCCACACCACCCAGTTACAAACTCTACACCACCTTATTTGAAAATTGCCTCAAGGGTAAAAATTATCATTAATGAGCGACACTAAACCTGTACAGGTTAGTGCCACGGGAAAATTGGAACACATTTGGGCCCTATTCAAGGCATTGGAGTACAGGCATAGTAAGATTCCTCAAGCCAATTTTAAGGTTATAACTGCCTATTTTGGAAGTTTAAATCAAATACCAAAATGACTTACAAATGCCAGTGAAAAATTAATAAAATCCTGAGTTCACAATTATATTTACCATCTTATCACCTAATAGTAGGAATTTAAGTAGTAAATAATGTTCCAATATAGAAGACTGTACAGGAAAAAACTAATGCTATCCACTTAAAGGAATTTTATAAACAGTCAAGAATTAAATAGAAATTTATAGGAATGAAACTATTAATGAACATCAGGGAACCCCATACAAGGGAGAAAAAAAACCTACCTCAACCCCTCTCTCAAGATCACGAATCTGTGGTCCCTTAGGTGCACCTCCAAATACACACGTGGATCGGATCTTTGAGGAGGTCCCATAGTCCTGTGCAACTGTTAAGATCTGTTGTGCAAGTTCTCTGGTGGGAGCCAGAATAAGTGCTATTGGACCATCGCCTCTCTCTAAATACGGCTGGTGATTTATATGAACAATTGCTGGTAGAATGTATCCTAATGTTTTACCAGAACCAGTCTGAAATGAAAACGAAAAACATTATTTCAACCATGAAAGTACCTTCTTTTTTCTTTGCATAATTAAAAAAAAAACTTAGCCAGTCTCACCTGGGCAATGCCAACGAAGTCCCTGCCCTGTAGTGAAATAGGCCATCCTTGACCTTGAATAGGAGTGGGTTGTTCATAACCTTGTCTTCTGATTTCAGCCATTACATAGTCTGGGAAATTATAATCACTGAAGTATTGGATGGGGTTTGGGATGTTTTTTCCTCTTAGTGTAATTTCCTTTTCATTTCTGTATGGAAGATATTATTAGCTTAGAAAAACAATTTCTCAAGATACCCAAGATTAAAAAGATGTTTACTACAATTACATAAAAATATAGTACATGTAACTCATTTTAAAGCTTTTATCAATCTTAATGATCCAGTATACTTGCCTATATTTTTCAACTTCATAAGCTGGGCGATTGAGAACTGTTGGTGTGGGCTGATAGAAGTTCTTCTCGAAGGGAGTCAGTCTGGACAGGTCCCACCTCGGCTTCCGAAGACGCTCGCCTGGCTGCCTCCCTTTCAGTGACGGTCGTCCACTACCAGCAGCACTCCACCCTCCACGTGAACCCCAGTCATCCCTATCACGACGACGATCACGCGAGCGAGAACGAGAACGGGAGCGAGACCTAGAAGGGGACCTTAGGATTAACTATTTATAAATGAACCTGAAAATGAAAGCATGAATTATGTTGAGCCACTTCGTCAACTCCACGAAGCTGTCGTCCGAACGTCCTTTCGCTGGTGGACTGTCAAATATGTAGATGACCTCAATGCAGCCATCTAAACCTTGCTGGGCATTTAACAATGTATCCAAACAATAACAACCTAACCTTCAGGAATGTGTCATCTCCATGCACACTGCAAGGAAATTTCATATAAACAAAGAAACAAAGCTGACACCATTTCCCAAGTAAGAATAAGGTAAAGTTCTTAAAAATCTCTCGTGTATGAAAGAGGCAGAGTAAGAAAGCTAAGATGGAAGGATTAAGAGGCAAATCATCTACAATTTCAAAACCCTTAACCATATGACAAATTTACACTTTATAGGACTATTGTGACCATGCATAAAACTATTCCCCAAGAACGCTTTGTGATAACTCCTGAATATTTACGAAATAGGCCACTGTACAGCCACTAAATCAAGGAATCTTCTAATGTCGTGTGGTAACCCAGAAACAATTGCTTGACTTTTTTTAATGTAATTTCCTATAATAAATATGTAGTCAAATGCAGGTTAGAATATAGAAAAAAATTGTGTACAATCATCAGCCCATAACTTCTAGCAATGACTAAAATTATTATTCTGCATTTTGAAATGTTATGTAAAATATTGAGACTTGCCCCTTAAACAAGCAGGTAAAGTGCACTAAAGGGGGGGGGGGGGTTGTTACAGCTAAGTACAGAAAGGCAATTCTGGGAAAGAATAAGTGATGCAATAATACTCTGTGGGGATCAAGAGTACATTTCAGCCAACGATACCTTCCCAACACCCTGAATCATGAAATCATGGGAACTTAAAACTAAGATAATGTAAACTTAAATCTAGTACCATGATTTAAGTATCAAATTACAAAAAAAATTGTGAACCTGCAAAACATGTAATCCATTTAAAGGCAAACAAACAGATTACAATATGTATCTAGGCCACTTAACGAGAAGCAACACTCAAAGAAAAGCCACCACCTGCAAAACCTTAACGTATGCCCAACATCAAGTCATTCAGCAGGGACTTGAGCCTGTTTTCACAATGTCTGATATAAGAACATAAAGAAACACTGCAGCAGGCCTACTGGCCCATACTAGGCAAGTCCTTCATATCCAAACCCACTAACAAAAATATTTGCCCAACCCATTTTCACACATCAGATACAAATAAAATGCATATTGGCAAGTATTGTCTCTAGATTACCAATGACATGTCACTCCCAACCACTCTTGGAATATTTTTTTTGGGGAAGTGGGGGGAGGGGGGGGGACCCAAGCTTGGGATACAACTAGTCAAGTTTAACAATGCATTCACAGGGGAAGAACTAAACCAAGAGGGATTAAACAGTATCCAGGGAATGAAGCAAATAAGATTCAATCCAAGAAATGGATGGTTAGCCCCATTTTCTTGGACCAATAGCCCTTCACTGACATTAAGGCACCTTGCAAGGACATCATAGGTAGGGGGTTAAGTTCTTGGCATTTGGTATGATCTGCTACATCTTTCAATGTCTACCTCACTGATTTATACATTAAAACTCTCGGTACAAAAATAAACATTTTAATCCTAAAATTTATGGAGACTTGCCCAAAGAAAATATCAAGAAGTAGTTTTTCATTTTAGGCCTAACATTAATTCTAGTTTCTTTACCTGGGATTAATACTTTACACTAAAAATTAATTTGCCACTATTAGAAAATCTAGCATATTTCTGTAGTTAGTAACTTTTACTATTTCTTTATGCTGTGCATCTGTGGTGAACATAAGGTCCATAAGTTCCTGTACAGATACAGCCAATCTGTGAACAGTTCCTGTTCCTCATTTATTGCAAACCATCTGCCAGTCATATCTATCTAGAACAGTACTCTAGCTCTATTTAATCCAGATATAATCACCCATACCAATCAGACACTAAGGCTAAAAATCAAGAGAAACCTGGGTCCAAGAATTGACTGAATTTGTTCTCTTTCAGAATGATATATACCAAAAGATATAGACTAAGGTGAGGGAGGTTGAGATGCAGTTACGTATAAATATGGTTGGTGAGAATTAACTAAAACAGTAGGTTAGTTGGATAAATATAAGTTCAGAAATGGAAAGAAAAATTAGATTAGCAACAAACTTCCAAGTATCACTGAAATCAATAATCTAAAAATGGCAAGACAAAGGTTGAGTACAAGTAAAACCTGCCTAGCATGGGCTCATAGGCCTGCTGTAATTTTCTATTCCTGTCAATTTTGGCCAACATGAGTAGTTTCAAGCACTGCAATAGATATACTATACTATGTAGGGTCTGCACACCAACCCATCCCCTTTAATATTTGTCAAGCCTTCAAGCTAGCCCCAAAAAAGTTAATTTGTTAACATCGCTTTGCAGCCTTTTCCACTCTATAATCACTGCAGTGCTTTCTATATCTATATTTAAATGTTAACCCATTGCTAAACATTCCAATTTGGCTAGAAATTCATACTAAAGTGCTATACCAAAAACCAGATCACTTAAGACTGCATAACAGTTCAGTTGTTACTGCATGTGCATTATGCCAGGCACATCATACTGACTGGTTAAACACCGCTAGTGACAAATTACATGCAATGTTAGGATACCCAAGACATACCTGTGACTAGTTGTAAGATTTTTAATACTCTCACAGCCCAGACTGATGACAGGCTTGCCTGGTGACCGCCTGATCAGCCAGGCTATTGTTGCCCGCGACCCTGAGGCCCAAATAACCATCACAACCTGGCAGACAAGGCACCCCTTGCAGGAACGTATTTAATTTTCTTGAAGACTTCTACTTTTGTTGCAGCAATATTTCTTATAATTTCTAGTAGGTTGAAGAGTCTTGATTGCTGCCATAGATAAATGGCCAAATTACTAATTTATTTATGCATCTATATTTTACCCTCTTGACTGCTATTAAAATGGGTTTGCTAAGCTGCCAAGTTATTATAATTTTAACTTGTAGACTTTAATGTAACCTTTCTTTCCCCTTTACTTTAATAAACTTGTGAACTGGGTTAAAAAAAAAAGTCATAGGTATCTTATAAAAAGCTTGTCACATTTTTCATCTACTGGCCATAAAAAAATCAGATGCCATTGCTAACCTTCCAATAAGAAATTTAAATTGGTTGTAATGACTCAAAACCTAACACTACTGCAAATAAATCACAATGGGTGGACCATAAACGTGTTGCAGGAAGTCCCAACTCCCAGGCAGCTGGACCAGTAATAAGCATGCTAGCCCAAGTTTTATGACTCCCCTGCCACTGACGTGAACCCTACAAATTCACGTTTCATTTAATTTTTTTAAATATTTATATTAAACCCCCCACACAATTTTCTTCAAAGCAAAATACAGTGTAGTTTAGTCTTAATTCATCTCGTCTGAAATTTACTAATGCACACAAAAACTATGGTAAATCTTCCTTGTACAGTATACATAAAAAAAAAAGAATCAAGGGGAAATGAAGGATTAGGATCACTACCTTCAAGTGCCATATCATCAGGCTGTGATGAATGTGGGTCAAGCAGGCTTCCAATCAAAATAGCTTGGTTAACAAGCAATTTAATAGGGATGACTAGTCACAGACCAGGTTGAGTAGAAAAACCCTCAACAGTTCACAGGTAAATCACATGGGTGAAAGTAGGGATAAATGGGAAGTCAGTGTTACTGATGAGACAGGTACATAAGCTTATACCGTTACATTTTTTTGCAGAATGTAGATTTATCACATCAGTCACAAAGCTCTACTGGTCCAGGTTAGGCAGGTAGATGGCTCATCCATTTTTGTACTTATGCATTACACAAAGCATTGGGTGGCAGAAAGTGCCACCATGACCAAAATCCAGGATACCAAACTAATCTATTCCTTAAAATTTTAGTTAGGATGCTCTGAGCTCCATATCACAATCCCTGCCATGCCCATTGCCCCCCCCCCTGCACTGTTTGAATATACTTATTCTTTTCTGCCACAATGCCCCATGTGTGTACGAGGCAAAAACCAAATTTGTCATGCAGCATAAATTTTAACCTATTTCAAGTTACACAGTAATGGGGTCAAGGGAGATACACTCAGCCTGTCCTGCTTACAGGAAGGACAATTTCTACCTGCTGTAGTGAAGGGACTGTTTCAAAGAGTCCTAACAGACTAAGTTGGCTGATGCTACCACCCCTGCTCCCAGATTTACCCCATCCTCTGCATACATGTTCATCACAGAAATTGCTCCAGTTGCATATGAATGGTACTGCAAGTTCTTTGCAGTACTTTGTCTAGCCACCAATTTACACCAATTGCCCTAGACATTCCTTCATTGCCCTCTCATCTAGGCAATATACTACATAGGATTAGGATCCCTTCCTTAAACCTAATTAAATCTATATCTGTCCTGTGTTTAACTAATAGCTCCCATCTCCTGCCCTTCCAATCATTTCCTCCTTGCACTGTCCATATATATCCAACCTGTGAGCTACTGACCACGAAGATATTCCTTTATTAAAGTTCATCCCTTTATCGTCCTGAAGAATAAGAATAGCAATTTCCTATCTTTAAATCTGCCACTTTAACCTACCCCAACTTAATGTCCCTCCCTTTAATGGGAGCCAATTCCAACTTCATACCACTGCCAACCTGCTCCTCACTGCTAGTAACTAAAGTTTCCTTTCATTAATCACCAACCATCTCGCATTCATTGTTATAATTAAGCGAATTTTCAGTTTCCCTTTCCTCCTTGAGAAGTAAAACTTCCACACCATGGTACTTTATAACACTCCACTATTGAAATACTTATGTACTACTGCTATATTCACATTGTCAAGACACTACAACACTGGTTATCTTGGTACTGAGGACATCTTGGACACATTTATTGCCTGACAAGTTACAAGCAAGAAAGATCAGATTTGAGAAAAACCTACCAAGGATTGCTACAGTGCCTCTCAATTATTACATTTTTCTACTGGTGGGCCCCACCTTGTGTCAAGATTTGTTATGCCTCGCCTATGGCAGTTTACAAGTCTCCATTTTAATGTTTCAGTTTCATTGTTTCAAACTATGAAGCAAAACTATTCTTCAGGCTGAGAGACTGACCACATCTAAACTACTTTGAGGGTGATGGACTGATTGCATCTCTACACCCACTGCTATGGCTACCTCCTCTGTATTCAACTTAAGCAGCCAACTGTGTAGGCAAATATTTCTGAAGATACCTGGAGGGGGTTTTGGGGGTCAATGCCCCCATGGCCCAGTCTGTGACCAGGCCTCATGGTGGATCAGGGACTGGTCACCCAAGCTGTTACTGTTGGCCGCACGTAAAGACGTACGAACAACAGCCCGGCTGATCAGGTACTGACTTTAGGTGCCTGTCCAATGCCTTCTTGAAAACAGCCAGGGGACTAAATGCTGCACTCGTATTACTTGTCTACTAAAATACCTAACCAAAACAGAACCCCTAGGCTTTGGAAATGTGTAAACATTGTAAATAGTTGTGTCTAATATTGAATGCTGGTCCTTCTCAAAACTGGCATTATACAAAAAAAATCCATACCCCAACAAGAAAGTTATTTCTTCTGCAAATTCAATAATTTACAAAATTACCTTAACATGCTTCAGAATGCAAATAAGATGGGACAATCAACATTTAGTATTCAGTCAAATGGCACACCTGAACAATTACAGCAACATTTACACATCCATTTCTAAATCCAACAATAACCAATCTCTTTTCATGGTGGCCTGTGGCCTGGTGGCAAAAGCTCTCGCTTCACACACTGAAGGTCTGGGTTAGATTATCAGCAAGAGTGGAAACATTGGGAGTTTCCTTACATCGGTTGTACATGTTCACTATCAGTAAAAATGGGTACCTGGGTGTTAGCCGACTGGTGTGGGTTGCATCCTGGGACAAATCTGACCTAATTTGCCTGAAATGCTCTGCACAGCAAGCAGCTTTCTTTCCAGTAGTATGTCATTAATGTCAACTAGGCCTGTATACCCTGTAGAAAAGCTATGCATTTAAATTCACCGACGTCTGATTTACACTCAAGCTTAATTTTTATACAGGACTAGGTTATATTACATTAAACTGCATTGGGTTAGGTTAGGTTTTGGGCTACAGTATGTTTTCCCCATTTGCACATTATATGTACTACCCCCATGGAACTCTCTTAACCATTTCCATCTCTTGTGTAGATCTGTTACTGACTAGACAGGTACTGCAAAGAATCTGCAATCCCATTCATTGACAACTGGGACAATTTCTATGGCAAACATGACTTGCAGCTCTGGAGCAGGGGTGGCAGATTTAGCCAACTCTCTCAAGGGTATAGTAGTCTAGGACTTAAAACTGATAAAAGATATTAGGTATAGGCATGTATGGGAAACAGGTTGCAGTACGAGGAATGAGAGCAGCAAGAATTGCCAGGATACCTCAGGGATATATTCAACAGATACACTATTTCAATAGAAAGTTACTAATTAAACCAATGTAATTTGTCTACAGGAAATTCTTTATAACCAATGTTAGAAATCAAACTATTACATGTTTACATAATGTACTTATTGTATTTGCAGTTTGTTTTGTAAGCCATGAGGCAGTTATAACCTTTACTATTTTAAGATTTAGGAACAGATGTACCATTGTAGTGTATGCTTCATATTCTTAAGTGTTGTAAGATCCATACTTTTGAATAGCATTATAGATGTGTTAGGGTTAACTTAATTTATTGTTCACTCTTGTGGTTCTAATTTTATGATGTACTTCTCAGATAGGGGGGTAGGGTTAGTTTGCAGGGTTACGGTATGAAACGTACTGTGCTCTTTTGAGTTAGTACCTTATGACGTTAAGTCATAGTAAAGAATATCTGGTTTTACTTTTTATGTAGTTTGTACGGAAGTATGTATCAGTACTCAACTTAATTTGGTTACTGTTTGTGTTTTCATTAGATACTATTTGTTACATGCATAATTTTTATATTTGTATGTGGTATTATATGGCCATGGAAAGTTTATTACATCTGTTGATGGATAAGGCCTGTTTGTTTTTTATGTGCTGTTATGTACTTTTTAAATAAAATATAAAAAAATTAAAGCAATGAAATTGTTCAACAAAACCAAGAGGGCAGTGACTGACTAATTTCCTTAAAGTCTACTATACTAACAGCCGGTGCACAAGAAATAAGATGGACAAATTATGATTAATTGTGTAGGAAACACATTATTGCTATAACAGAAATCTGGTTCAACCTGAAATAAATGCCTTCTGAATGCCACATACAAGGCTACAAATTATTCCACACCACTAGGGTCAACAGGAAGGGTGGTGGAGTGGCAATGCTTGTCATATATAATTTAAACTGCTGCATTAGACAAATACTTGAGTGGGTATGACTTGGGCCTCCCTAGCATGGAGATGAAGTGCTCCATTCTTACGTTTTGAAATTAATGCCACTGACCTGACATTTTTGTCATTAATCCATCAAAATAACATTTAGAATTCTCCAAAAATTCAGTAACAATTTGCCAAGCACTAACCTAAAATATAAGTTAGGTTATATAACTACTGGTTATATTCGAGGAAGTCACTGATAAGGGACTGAGGGGATCTGAAAATGTAACTTTGCCAGAAAGCCTAAAGGAATTTAATTTAGACAAGAAAGTGTACCAATAGAAAACCAGAATTAAGAGGTAAATATGAAAAAAATACCTAAGCACTACTAGACTTGCAATAGATTTAAGCTGGACAAATTTAAGATTGAGAAAGCATATAGAAAAATAACCGATTTGGCAATTGTTTAGAGAAGTGGAACGAGTTTTCAAGTGACACCAATGAAGCAAAACTTTTGAGTAGCTTTAAAAAATAGGTTAGACAGGTACAAGAGTGGGTGTGTGCAAGTGAGAGTTGAACCTAACTAGCATGGGCCTTTAACCCTGCTGTACTCTTCTTATAGGAACACAAGACCAGCAATATAGTTTAAAATGAATAAATGATAAAATAGTACCAGTGGCATCACTACTGACATTCTCACTACACAGCAAAATGTCTAACAGAAGTTAAACAGGCCTACAGCAGTGTTCCTTTGTTCTAACCAAGCGTAAGGGTTCATTTACCCCAAAGTCAAACCTCTCTTGGATACGTCCACAACCACAGCATTTTCATTTTGAACATATACACTAGTGATGAAATGTTTATAGCCATTATTTCAGTGACAAATCTATTTCACCTTACCAAGATATACACCTGTAACATGTTTCTAAGTTTTTTTTTTTTATCCCTGCAGCCCAGCCTGGTGCCAGGCTCCTACCAACACACCTCTACCTTTAGATTCTGGCGAAGTTAAGAGTGAACAGTCTATAATAGCTTCAAATGTACTAAAATATATACATATACAAACCGAGTAATCATATATCACTGCACCGAGATCACACCCTTTTAAGGCACCAAACCTGAATATCAATGCCCATTAATCCAGTTTTAAAAAAAGTTATCAGCAGCAGAACAAACATTCGCTATTTCGCAGGGCGTTCCCTTAAAATTATAAAATTCACAAAATGGCCACCTGAAAAACGAAAACCCTAACGTTTAATAAAGCATGCATTATGCAGTGAATTTCCGTAAAGGTTAGGAGTCACATTTGCACGATCAAGTAAAGCCCAAGCATTCAAGTCTTTAAGGTAACTACTTACTCGACCTAAACTCGAAATACAACCAAGCGGGTACACAGAGGATACAAAATGGCGACATAGCTGCAGAGAATGACATACTAGCGACAACCATCAAAAATTGAATCAGCCATCATCAGCACCAGATTAAGTCTAACGCTTCAACAAACACAGGCAAATCCAAATTAACAACACCAACGTTAACATGAGAGGCAATACAACAACACAAGATCACTAGAGACCACAGGAACAGTCCGTCAACATAAATCGATGCGGTCCCGCAGGTCTTCGCCATATTGGATAAACGCTTCAGCACTTATTTACTCACCTGCGATTTCTGTAAGACATGTCGTTGTTCCTTTTCTTTCAATTGGACGATAACTTTTAATAAATAACTTAAATAGGAGCAGGTGTTAGCTCCTGGTGTGGGCGCGATGATGGAAAATTGTTCAGCAAGGCGGAGCGATGTTACAAGAGCCCGCTGAGGACCCACGCAGAAAGACCGTCTGCTAGACAGGCGCACCAGCCTCCCTCATCCCGCAGCTGCCAACACTCACTAACACTACTTTATTCATTTTAATAACCTTATAAGTTGTCTCTTAGGCTTGTTGTATACATTAAAATATATAATGTCAGTGTTTTTACAACGCTGTGGCATTCTTTTCATTGAAATCAAAGTATTTATAGAATAATAATAAGAAAGTATTCATGACTTGGCAGCAAGGTAGGAACAAGTGAGTCAGGAGAAGCGCCATTCCCCAGCCCTTGTTCGATAATTTTGTCCAGAGTAAAAATTCGCGTTCAAGACAAAGACTTCGTGATGCCAATGAAAACTACAAGAATTTGATGCTTTATTAAACATACCCAGCTCAAAAACTAACGTGTTGAGCTAATTTTATTGTAAGTTTATTTTCGAGAACAGGAAAAAATTTCTGACGGAAATTACTCCAAGAGTGTTCACACGACTTGTTTTTAACATATTTTCGGATGCAACGTCAACATTTTGAAAGCCTGGTGTAACTGTTACGTAGTTTAATAGTTAAAAATTTCCCTTATACAATTTAAAACGTCATATTTTGCAAAACATCCATAATATTGCAGCTGTTTGGAAGGAAGTCATCAGCCATCTTGGCACATCGGAACAAGTGCTTGAAGCCTGGCATATAGTGCTGCCATACCCTAGGGCAACCTTCCCCACGTGCAACTTAAGGAATGTACCCAGATACTTACAAAAAATATATTATAAAGACCACTTGAACTACGTTTTTCCCTAAGTTATCTGGATATATTCCATGAAAAGTACTTTTGAATTATGTACGGCGAGGTGAATGTACTCCTGAACAAAGCCGTTATTAGAAATCGAAAATAAAAATGTAATTGCTTTGAAAAATCGTGTTTACAGGTGTATGATCATTCATATTCGTGAGGCGTAATGTAATGGGGTCACCGCCATGATGTGCAGAACGACCTACATCCGTGACTTTCAGTCCCGCTCTTGCCATTATAAAATAATTTCGTCACTGTGAAAATGAAACATTTCAGTAGGCCTGCAGGCCCATACTAGGCCGGGCTAGCTCACACCATCTTTCCAACTTACTCATGTATCTCCAACCCACTCATGTACCTCCAACCCACTCATGTATCTCCAACCCACTCATGTACCTCCAACCCACTCATGTATTCTAACCCACTCATGCATCTTCAACCCACTCATGTATTCTAACCCACTCATGAATCTCTAACCCACTCGTGTATCTCCAACCCACTCATGTATCTCCAACCCACTCATGTATCTCCAACCCACTCATGTATCTCCAACCCACTCATGTATCTCCAACCCACTCGTGCATCTCCAACCCACTCATGCATCTCCAACCCACTCATGTATTCTCCACCAACACCACTCATGTATCTCCAACCCACTCATGTATCTCCAACCCACTCATGTATCTCCAACCCATCATCTCCACTCATGTATCTCCAACCCACTCATGTATCTCCAACCCACTCATGTATCTCCAACCCACTCATGTATCTCCAACCCACTCACACTGCATTCAGAAGATCAATTTTAAGTTTTAATACCATCTTTACTTGTGTACAGAAATGTGTACCTCATTTACACAAGTGTGTATGTTTCTGAATATATATACATCTAGAGTAGAGGTGTGTAACTAATGTATATATACACGGAAAGATGTTTCACTGTACATTATACATACTGAGTTATATATATATATATATATATATATATATATTATATATATATATTATATATATATATATATATATATATATATATATATATATATATTCTGAAAGGTATGCATCTCTCACTTGGAATCTATAACCTGTTATCGAAATAATATAGATCACGAGCAGATCCCCTGGACCACTGGCAGATCCCCTGGATCACGAGCAGATCCCCTGGATCACGAGCAGATCCCCTGGATCACGAGCAGATCCCCTGGATCACGAGCAGATCCCCTGGATCACGAACAGATCCCCTGGATCACGAGCAGATCCCCTGGATCACGAGCAGATCCCCTGGATCACGAACAGATCCCCTGGATCACGAGCAGATCCCCTGGATCATGAGCAGATCCCCTGGATCACGAGCAGATCCCCTGGATCACTTGAAGATCCCTGGATCACGAGCAGATCCCCTGGATCACTTGAAGACCCCTGGATCACGAGCAGATCCCTTGGATCACTTGAAGATCCCTGGATCACAAGCAGATCCCCTGGATCACGAGCAGATCCCCTGGATCACGAACAGATCCCCTGGATCACTTGAAGATCCCTGGATCACGAGCAGATCCCCTGGATCACGAGCAGATCCCCTGGATCACGAGCAGATCCCCTGGATCACGAGCAGATCCCCTGGATCACGAGCAGATCCCCTGGATCACTTGAAGATCCCTGGATCACGAGCAGATCCCCTGGATCACGAGCAGATCCCCTGGATCACGAACAGATCCCCTGGATCACGAGCAGATCCCCTGGATCACGAGCAGATCCCCTGGATCACGAGCAGATCCCCTGGATCACGAACAGATCCCCTGGATCACGAACAGATCCCCTGGATCACGAACAGATCCCCTGGATCACGAACATTATTATTATAATCAAAAAAGAAGCGCTAAGCCACAAGGACTATACAGCGGTGGATCACGAACAGATCCCCTGGATCACGAACAGATCCCCTGGATCTCGAAAAGATCCCCTGGATCACGAGCAGATCCCCTGGATCACGAGCAGATCCCCTGGATCACGAACAGATCCCCTGGATCTCGAAAAGATCCCCTGGATCACGAGCAGATCATTGGATCTACACTCTGCTTGGAAGGTGTGGATGACTAATGAAAGCTAAGCAACATGGCGCCTCTGAAATGAACAAATTTTCCCCCGTTAAGCTGAGGAGGAACTTTCATTTCTACAGGTATGGCGGACCTTGGCAGTGTTCTACAAGGCCGATGGCCTTCCCAGAGTTGGAAATTTGCCCGTGGAACTTATTTTCTTTGTGGTAGCTTCGACTATATGTTAACTTTGAGCAGAGAAACTCGCGCATATAGGATTTGTTTTTTCCTGCGGAGTAATATTTTCACAGTATTGTTTGAAGCGCAAGAGCGGGAGGATTGGCAAGGCGTCGCTGTGTTTGATGGAGGGGTGGTTGTGGAGGGGGGATGGAGAGGTGAGGGAGGTAGGTAATGGGTGAGGGGGTTGTGGAGGGGTGTGAGGTGGCCATGGCGGGGTGAGGTGTGGTTGGGAAGGGGTGAGAGCGAGGGTCGTGGAAGGGTGACGTTGGAGGGGTGGCCTTGGAGGTTTGAGAGGGGGCCTTAGAGAGGCCGAGGAGGGGTGAAGGAAGGCCTGAGAAGCGAGAGGGGAGGGGTGTAGGGCGGCGTTGGAGTGAGGGGCGGTCGTTGAGGGGTGAAAAGTGGGGGAAGGAGAGGGCGGATTGAGGGTCGGCCACCTGGCCCGCTGCCCGCCAGCAGTCATGGCCGCCCTCCCAGACATACACACTGACAACTGTCTTGCATCATCCCACTCACTTTGCATTAGATTAAATTTGAAAGTATATACTCCCTTATTGCAATATATTTACATAATTCTATACCAGGACTCGAAATACCTTCAACTGTATTTTCCTTAGTTTTATAATACTATACATGTAATATATTCTTATGTAAGTTAATAAGGACATAAATTTAAATGGAAAGTAATCATTCCGTTGTCTCAGTCATTTAATACAAATTATTTAAGGTGGAAATAAGACAGACTGATTTTTTTTGATCATCCTGGAATTTACACGGAGTTTACCGGTATTTATTGCAACAATTGTACAATCATTTGTCTAAAATTTTATTGCCGAATAGGATTTTAAACCTCTAAATATTTCTTATTTATGCTATGTTTGTTTCCGGAGGTAATCACACATTCACACCATTTCAGTGACTAAAAAGCGGTTGACAAGATATATATATAATATTATATATATAATATATATATATATATATATATATATATATATATATTATATATATATATATTATATATATATATATTACATGGATGGCATCAGCCTTTCACATTACAATCATTTTTGTCACTCCAGATAAAAGGTCACAGATGGAGACTGAGATACGAAAATTTATTTTATGAATATTTTTCCAATTACTGAGATGTATCACATTGATCAGAATTATATTGTAATTTGTTGTTAATTACAAACACACACACACACACACACACACACACACACACACACACACACACACACACACACACACACACACACAGTGAAGAGGCGGGGCCAGGAGCTTGGACTCTACCCCTGCAACCTCAACTAGGTGAGTACACAGGAAGCAGAGAGAAAGGACCTAGTAGCGATCGGTGAAGAGGCGGGGCCAGGAACCGAGTCTCGACCCCTGCAACCACAATTGGGTGAGTACACATAACACTTGCAACGGCAGTACATATACTAAGTAAGTTTATTCAGGTATACACAAATACAGTTACATAGATTATTATACATAGCAGCATATGTGTAAAGTACCTAGGATAACCCCCCCCCAAAAAAAAAAAAGTCAGTGACTTATTTCCATTGGGGTCTAGAGAAGATTAGCATGGCCTCTGCGCTAGGATGACACGCAAAATCGCGAAGGGTTCCACATTTTAAGCAGCGACCAGCGAAAAGGCGGGGCCAGGAGTTGTGACTCGATTCCTGCAACCACAAATAGGTGAGTGTGTATATACACACACACACACACAGCGAAGAGGCAGGGCCAGGAGATGTGAATCGACCCCTGAAACCACATATAGGTGAGTACCCACGTCTAAAGTCAGTGCCTGACCAGCCGGGCTATGGTTCACATGCTAGATTGCGTGCTGCCAGCAGTAACAGCCTAGTTGATCAGGCCCTGATCCACCGTGAGGCTTGATCATGGACCGGGCCGCGGGGGTGTTGACCCCGGCACACTCTCCAGGTTGGTAGACACACATACAACACGAGAACACCTGGAATTTGAAAACTCAGATAAGTCACAGGGACGTCAGGAAATAGTTCTTCAGCCTTAGAGTAGTCAGGAAGTGGAACGACCTGGAGAGTGAAGTGGTAGAGATAGAAACCATACGTAGCCTTAAGAAGAGGTACGATGAGGATCTCGAAGCCAGGATAGAGTAAATCTAGTAGCGGCCAGCGACGAGGTGGGCCAGGAGCTAAGGCTGATTTCTGGAACCACATATAAGTTTACCTGGAGAGAGTTCCGGGGGTCAACGCCCCCGCGGCCCGGTCTGTGACCACACACACAAACAAACACAACTAACAAGCGACCAGTGAAGAGGCGGGGGCCAGGAGTTGTGACTCGACCCCTGCAACCACAACTAGGTGAGTACATAAACACCATCAGCTGTTCACCGTTTCTATTGTGACAGTAATGCCACGTCACAGACTCCCTCTCAAGCATCACCCCTCCCTCACGTCCCTCAGTCCTACCTACCGCCAGAGAAAACCCCATCCCATCCATTCCCTCTAGCACAAGATCACCTTTTCCTCATCCCCTTCTGTTTCTCCACCTTCGCTTCCTCTACTCATCCTCCCGTTCCCTTATATTTCTCCTTCCCCATTCCCTACCCGATTCTATTGCTTCTCCCTCATCCTCTCTTACTTCTGTTTTTTCCTCCCAACACCTTCCAACTCCCCCACTCTCTCCCCCAACGTCTCCCTCATCCACCAACACTCCGACGCATGATGACGTCAGCATTACGCAATACTTGTGAACCCGAATACGTATTTCGCGTCTTTCCCTACATCACGGATTCTCACATTATACTTTAAGTAAATGTAATTCAACGTCTATATTAATTCCACAATGATTTAACAGCATAATACAGCGTTCAGGTATTATTTGTCAGTTTTGTAGTCAACGGGGATGATGCCAGAATTTCCCGGTATATGAACTTCACCTGAAACACCATGTCTCCTTGTCTTCCAACGTATCTATCGGCGATTAAGCTAATTGAAGTTATACGTACTAATCCCCAATTAAAATTAAATGTAACTACATTAAGCAGTTCAATAAATGTGATAGGAATGGTGGTAGAATCGATAATACCGTCTACTGCTCAACGCCGTTGCCATGGAGAATTTCCGCTGTTGAAATCCCTTGTCTCTCATTCTCTGTTTTACACAACAACTCCTATGGTTAGTGCTAATTGTTTTGCTGAGGTAGCACTCGCCGACTTCATTTCCTTAGGATCTGTACATATAAAAGCGTATTCAAGACGATCTACCTTAATTATGAACTATTAACAAAATGGAATAACTGGCATACGCTTCTCCCTGCCTCTGCTCCCTTCAGCCTCATTTTTAATGCTGTTAAATGATTTCTTTGCTCTTTATTGTTTTTTTATATATATATTGCCAAGTCGGTTGTTCGTTGCATCTTTGTCTTGTTTTGCTAGTTTGAAGGTTTTGATGCATGGAGAAATTGTGGTTGTGGTGGAGTAGCGCAGGGCTGTTGGTGGTAGTTAGGGACGCCCTGAGTTCCCACAACAGAATGTGACGCACTGCACCACACCCGGGGTCGTATCCACTCCCAGGAACGTACCGCTACGTCAATACCTCCACGTCTATTATTCATCACTTGACGCACACACTTGAATGCGAATGCATAGGAAGTAACTTACATCTGCTTCCTGGTATCCTCGCCCCGTGGCTCGGTTTTCTACCGGGACCCGGAAACTGGAAAGGAAATCCTGTATTGCAGGACCCACTATAGAAATAGGAACTGCAGTAGGCCTATTGACCCATGCTAAGAAGGTCCAGTTCACACATACCCCCATCAGTTTATGTCTACCTTATTTTTAAAGCTATCCAAATTCCTCGCCTCGATTCAAAATTTTGCCGAGCCAGTACTTTCCTATATCTTCTAAATCTAAATTTGCTGAACTTGATTCCATTGCTGCGAGTCTTGTTTTGGTTAGATGTTTTCAGCACGTTATTTATATCTTTATTTATTCCTGTTTTACATTCGTACCAATCACATCCACCCCTAATTCCCTATCTTCCCACAGAATGTCGACCCAGTGACCTCAGTCTACAAAGGAAAGATTTTTGATACATCGGATAGATTTTGTCATCCGTTTGTGTGTGTTTTCCAGCGCATTTGTGTCCATTCAGTAACAAGAGGAGCAGAAGTGAGCAGCTTACTCTAAAAATTGCCTTACCAAAGATACTTAAAGTTGAAGTATAATGTAATGACTCCTAAAATTTGTACTTCTTGCTATGAAACCAATATGTACTTCCATTGACTCCATTGCGAACACTTATGCACAGTTGTCTTCGATTTAGATTACTGCTAACTATAACACCTAAGTTTTTCGGCTTCAGTTTAATTGAGATTAACATTATTTAGCTTATAAATGCAATGGTCATTTTCCTCTAGGATTAGAAGCTTATATATTTTTTTCCATTCAACTGCGTCTGACACTTCTTCAAACACGACATTAACCTATCCAGATCATCCTGTAACACTCTAGCGTCCTCAACAAAATTTATTTGACGGCTTATTTTAGCGTCATCGGCAAACTTGTTTATATCGTTATTTAGGCCCCTACCTATGTGGTTTATGTAAATTATAAAAGAGCGCCCAGTAATGGCCCTTGCGGAACACCACTTGTAATACGTTCCCATTTTGATTTCTCCCTATTTCTGCAAACTGTTGATTTATCCACACATTTTCAGTAACTGATTTTCGTCCCTGAGAAGCAAGACCACACAGGAAGGCAAAGATAAGTGTGTAATGATTACAATAAATCTGTAAATGAAAAATACCGCAGTCCCGCCAGATTGTGAAACATTTAACTGGCTTCAGTTTCACACTCACGTGATAAACTGTAATGCTTCCCTGAATGGTTGTTCTCTATTAATTTACGCGTTAAGTATTATTATTATTATAATAAAAAAGAAGCGCTAAACCACAAGAGCTATACAGCGCGTTAAGTTGCATTTTAACCAATATGTCGTTAAAACTAAGTGGAGGTGATAAGTGCGACAACACACCCTGAACATAAGAAGGAGCACTGCAGCAGGTGTACTGGCCCATGCTAGGCAAGTCCAAGAGGATTTTTAAAATGTTGTGGACGGAAAAAAACAATAAAAAGAGATACGGAGAAGTGTAAAGACTAACAAAAATACAGCTGTCCGCATATTTGTCAGAGAATCAAACTGGTTGTAGATAAGACGAACGACAGGACGAAACCTCTTAACCTAATCTAACATAACCTAGCCTACCCTAACCTAACCTAATATACTGTAACATAATTCTGACGTTTTGGGGATATCCTAGGTAATCTACACTTGCTATGTATGATAATTTTTGTAACTATTTATGTGTACCTGTACCTGAATACACTTACTAGCCTGACTTAACCTAACCTAACTTAACCTAACCTAACTTAACCTAACCTAGCTGTGGAAAATTACATTTATCTGAATGTATCATTGGGGAGGAGGAGGAGGAGGAGGAGAGGAGGAGCTTGGACATGGGTGAAATTCCACAGTCACTTAAAACAACGGATATAGCCCCACTCCATAAAGGTGGCAGCAAAACATTAGCTAAGAACTATAGACCAATAGCTCTGACGTCCCACATCATAAAAATCTTTGAAAGAGTGCTAAGAAGCAGGATTGCAAATCACCTGGATTCCCAAAATCTGCACAATCCAGGGCAACATGGGTTCAGGGCAGGTCGCTCCTGCCTCTCACAACTACTGGATCACTATGACATGGCCTTGGATGCACTGGAAGAAAATCAGAATGCAGATGTAATATACACAGACTTTGCAAAAGCATTTGACAAATGCGATCATGGCGTAATAGCCCATAAAATACGTGCTAAAGGAATAACTGGGAAAGTGGGGAGATGGATCTTCAACTTCCTAACAAATCGAACACAAAGAGTAGTGGTCAACAGAGTTAAATCGGAGGCTGCAATAGTGAAGAGCTCTGTTCCACAAGGCACAGTACTCGCCCCCATCTTATTCCTTATCCTCATATCAGACATAAACAGAGATGTACACCACAGCACCGTATCATCCTTTGCGGATGATACTAGGATCTGCATGAGGACGCGGTTAACCTCCAAGAAGATATAAACAAAGTTTTCCAGTGGGCAACGGTAAACAATATGATGTTCAATGAGGACAAATTCCAACTACTCCGTTATGGAAAACTGGAGGAGATAATAACTAGAACAGAGTATACTACTGACTCCGGCCATACAACAGAGCGGAAAAATAATGTAAGGGGCCTGGAAGTAGTAATGTCTGAGGATCTCACTTTCAAGGATCACAACAGTGCCACGATAGCACGTGTAAAGAAAATGATAGGATGGATAATGAGAACTTTCAAAACGAGAGATGCCAAGCCCATGATGATCCTTTTCAAATCACTTGTTCTCTCTAGGCTGGAATACTGCTGTACATTAACATCTCCTTTCAAAGCAGGTGAAATCGCAGATCTAGAGAGTGTACAGAGATCCTTTACTGCACGTATAAGTTCTGTCAAGCACCTTAACTACTGGGAACGCTTGGAAGCACTTGACTTGTACTCGTTGGAACGCAGGAGGGAGAGATATATCATAATCTACACTTGGAAAATCTTGGAAGGAATGGTCCCAAATCTGCACACAGAAATCACTCCCTACGAAAGTAAAAGACTGGGCAGGCGATGAAAATCCCCCCCAATAAAAGTAGGGGCCCCAAATGGACACTAAGAGAAAACACCATAAGTGTCCGGGGCCCAAAACTGTTCAACAGCCCCCATCAACATTAGGGAATTCCCCATAAACCCTGGTGCCTTCAAGAGGAGCTGGACAGATCCAAAAATCAGTCCCGGATCAGCGGGCTGTGGTGTAGTTGGACTGGTGCGGCCAGCAGTAAACCCTAGTTGATCGGGCCCCTACCCGTCGGGGGGCCTGGTCATGGCCCGGGGCCGGGGGGCTTTTGATCCCGGGAATAACCCCCAGGAACCTCCGGTATGTACAAAACGTAAATGAACAAAGTAATCATTTTTTATGAGTTAGACAAGTAGGAATTTGGGACACCTAGGTCGCAAAAAATCCCCCTTCGAGCCTACCACTGTATATCCAAAAGTTGTCTGGACCTATAATTACAAAAAAATATGTACACCGGGAATGCTGAAAATATATAAATCTGTGGACGTTTTTAAAAATACAAAAGGATTTATTAAAAATATAATATATTATTTTTAAATATATAATATATATATATTATAAATTAATATATATATATTATATATATATACAATTTACATACCAGAAGGAAATATCTTAAAATCATTCCCCAATTTGATGGAGATCAAGGTGTATCATACTCAGAAACCTTTCTAACTAAATTTATAAAAAATAATACGGTCAAAAATAAAAAAACAAAATCATATGCTTATTTGAGGTTCCTGGGGTATCTGTCCGTCTACTGATTTTTCAATTTTTTGCAGGAAGCATATCCAACAATTTTTCTCCATTTGAGAGGTGTCAACCCCAAATTTTACCTGTAGAGACAAAAAATTCTTTACATTAACCAAAGTCTGTTACTCAATTCAAAACAACAATGGGAGTTCTTTTGCGCAGGCACAGTTTCCCATTTTTTTAACATAAATTTTTTTTTAAATACGTTGGCCATCTTTTAATATAATTACTGTATTTCTGGAAAATATTACAGTATTTTCCACACTGCGGCCCGGGGGGAGTTCGTTGCTAAAAGACTCAAATTGCTCATTTGGAATGGTGGAACCTGGGTCATATAAAATCTGGCATCCCCACGGGACATATTACACAAAAATTAACACCCTTTTTTCACTTTGCCGTCCTTGTGGAAAAAGAAAGTTTCCCTAAAAAATTTTAAAGGGATCTTGTACCCCCCCATTTTTTAGGGCATTTAGAACAATTAAAATTTTTTTTAGAATGGTTTTGGGGGATAAAATAGGGTTTTAGTAATCACCCAATTTCCTTTTGTAACCTACCCCGCACATTGTTCTCTAAACAGCCCCAATTTCTCTATTTAAAAACCTTTCAAATTTTTTTTTCCATCATCAAATTAAATCATTTCCCTAGATTTTTTCTTGTATCCTCTTTTTCCAAATTCAAAGGATGTGAAAAATTTAAAAATATTTATCTTGTTTAGAAAATTTAAACACCAACTTAGTTACATTATTATTTGGGGGGAAAAAAAATACCTATTTATATCAATGGCTAAAGAAGGGCAAATATTGGAGCAGTGGCACAGTAATTTTTAACAGGGGCAATTAGCCTTTGTACAGGCCAATTACTTTATTTACCAACCAGTCGGGCCTTTAAACCATGATACCTTTACAAATTTAGCAAAAAAACCTCGAGACAAGAAATCAGCTGGTTCTCCTCACCAGGTATAGATTAAATGTTAAAAATGCTGACCCAAAAATATTTACTTCTCTTGCATTGATTAAATTTAAACAATTGTTTTGTACTTCACAAATTTTTCTGTTTCCATTACGAACCATTTAAGGTCCCCCATTTTCAACAAAAAAACATGTCGAATATTTTTCCCCAACTTATTTCTTTTATACTTAGCTAATTTACACCCAATAAATGGGTGTTTAAATTTTAAATGACGTAAAGTATGTGTTTAATTGGAGACACTTTCCTTGACATAAAAAAAAATAACACTATTACATTTAAGATAAGCAATGCTCCATATGCCAATTTTTAAGCATCACAAAAAATTGGGTACATTTTTTTCCCTTTGGATTGGGCCCCTGGCGTGGAACTCCAACAAAGGAATTTTTCATAATCACCCCAAATTAAATTTATCCACCTGTTAAAGAATTCATCAGGGGAATTTCATCCCAAGCACATTTTAAATTTCCCTGCTTCCTAATTTAAAAATTTTTCCCCCTTTGTAAGGGGTGACACTAAACCCAGGGATCAAAAAATTTGGAAACTTCAGCAAGCAAAAATCTCTTTGTTAATTTATTGGGCAAACGTAAATTTTTGGTTTTTTAACATTAAAAAATCTCTTCATTTCCAAAAGTTAAAACCCAATCTTACACATTTTGGCACTTCTTTCCCCAGGAAATCTTTATTTTATTTTCCCCTTTAATTTGGACAAATTATATTCCATTCCTCAGAGGCATATTTGCATTTTGCATTATTTCATTAGTTCCCCAAAAGTCTTTAACTTTTCCCTTTCAGTTGACGTAAAACCCAGGAAATTGCCACATAAAATTGTTTGTCTTACTTTACTAAATGGACTTCCATACGTTTTAAGGTGTGCATTTATGTCTCTTAAGTAGGAACAGAGGGGATGAGCACCAAATAAATGCTTTAAAAGCGAAGTTTTCAGGGGTAAGTGGGTAAAGGTTTTCTCGGGCCAAAGACGGGTACAATCCCGGTCAGCCTTTTAAAAAAACCCCATCTTAGGAAAGCTTTACTTATGTAGCCGTAAAGGAATAATGCTTACCCTGAAATTTAATAAAATATCCCCCAATTTTTTTCCGTAAAACGACGGACCTGTATCAGTCATTTAAACTAGGTTTTTTGTTACCCCTGGCACTACAATTAAACACAATCCTAAAAGAGGGTCTTAAAATCCTTCTTCACTCGTGATGTGGAAAACAGTGCCCAAAATTTTGGCTTGCTCGGGGAGGTACCTTTCTTTAAATTTATTAATTAATTGTTCAGCAATTATATCATTATAGGCATTAACAATTTGGTGTCTTATCAATTCGGGGAGCTGAGGCCTTTAATTTTTTATATGCCATTCTGAAATTGGGGCAACCCTGGATGGTTCAGTCTCCCGGAAGTCGTACCCATATTGTCCAGATTCAAATTTTACATCTTCGGTTTGCCCCTGAGTAAAAAAATCTTTGGGACTTTCTTCCATTTACATTTATTCCAAGCTGTCTAATTCCACAATTTATGCACTGGCTCAACACCATCCTCATGGAAAATTATACTGGGGTACGATTTATGATAAACACACATTTTTGGTTTTGTAGTTTCCTTATCTGAATTTTTATTACGGAATCACCATACTTTACATGGCCTCCCGTCTTAAAAAGGGTGACACCACTTTTCTTTAAAATCCCCTTTTTACAAGGAGGAAAATAGTCCTACCTGTCAAAACTTTATTGGGCCCACAGAAACATCACTTTTCACCCGAAGGGCTAAATTTTTTTATGTGAAAGTCTTTCTGTAGTTTACTAAGTCCTACTGTAGATATTTTCTCGGAGTCATCTACAAACTGCATTAACACGTTTTTTCTCATTGCCCAAAAAGCAGTTACATAAACAGTTCATACAAATTTAGCTCTTTTATCGAGAGAAAACCAATAAATTTTTGGTTGTAGGATCCCCCCTGTACTTTATACCATTAAGACATTTAATTTTTTAAAGGTCTTTTGGGGGTTTGGGAATTATTAAAACCCATCATTTTAAAATTAAAAAGAATTTTTACAACCCATTTTGAATTTCAAATTTTTTTTTATTTTTTTTCAATGAACCCCCACCATATATATTTTTCCTTTTTGACTTAAAAATTTTTTAAATTTTTGGTGCTCCTTTACATTGGGGTTACAAAAATTTTTTTTGCAAGTTTCCCCTCTTTAACTTTTCATCCCCGAAAAATTTGCATTCAATCTTAAAAAAAATCCTTCAGAAAAAGCAATCCTTTTTTTTTTATGGTTTTAAAAAACATTTTAGGGGGTCTTATTTTTTACCTTTGGAAATTTTTTTTTTTCTCCTTTTTTAATTTTCTATCCCCTTTTTGAAAAAGAAATTTGTTTTTAAACCTTTTTTTTTTTTTGAAAAATTTAAATACCTGGTTTTTTTGTGACTTTAAATGAGTTATTGGTTTAATGCTAATTTTTGAACCGCTTATTTCCCCAGACCTAACCCCCTTTTTTAACAAAAATTTGTGTTTTCAGCTTAAATTTTTTCGTAAAAACCCTAAACCCGCTTTCCTCGATTTATTTATTTTTTAAAATTTTGCGGGGCTCTCCCTTTAATCTAAACCCGTAAACTTTGTAATGTGATCTGGAGATTTTTAAAATTTAAAAATATATTACTATATCCAACCCCTTTGTTCTTATTACCCAAAATGACTTTCAACAAGTAATGCTTCCTTTTAAGAGTCATCTATATTGGGAAAGGCTTGTAGAGCATGTGGCATTTTCCCCTTTCCTATCCTTTGAGGAAAATAATTTAGTTACCGGCTAGGTCACTCCTGTCATGACAGCTGCTTTAAAAAAATTACCAAAAATTTTCCCCCAATTTTCTCCAGGATTAAATACAGGTAAAAATAATTCTGGGAGTTTTGGCAAAGACATATTATTTGTTGGAGCGACTGATTAATGCCTGGTTTACACATTTAATTTTCAACCTGACTTTTACAAAAAGAATCTTTTCCTCTAATTTATAATATGTTAAACCCTGAGATCACTTCAGTCTCATCTACACAGTTTCTAACAATTCCTTCTTTTTGTTGTAATATAATTTGTATAAAACTATCTATTCCCAAAAGATCAAAATAAAAATTTTTAAATATCAGTATTCACAGTTTTTGATTCAAAATTCCAAACTTTATTGTATGCTTTTGTTACATCCCTTTTTTTCTAGCTTGCAGGATGCTTTTTTTGTTCGATTCCATATTTTGTTTTCTATATTAATTTCCCATTTTCAGCCATGGATGCAATGTATTAAATTCAACTTTTTTTAATAACACTGATTAAATTACAACACTGATACAATTTACCTTTGAATAAATCCTAGCTATTGAGTTAGAATTTAATGTAAGAAAATTATAATATAAATTTTAGCTACACTTGGCTTAGAATTACACTACAGATAAAAATCTTGGCCAAATTGGCTTAAAAAATTTAAAATATTATCAAATACTTAATATAAACCCCTTGCCAAAATTTTGGGCAAGCAAACTAATTTTAACAAAATTTAAAATCTTTAGCCACATTGGTTTATCCAATTAATATTGTAATAATTAAAATCCACACATATTAAGTAAATTTGTGAATTTAACATCCCCTCCTCGCCCTTTCCCAATTTAATTATTAAGTAATTAACTAATTAATGACTTCAGATTACCCCGTTCAAGAAGGGGGAAAAAAAAATTAAAATTTTTAAATTAATTATCTTATTATTTTAAAAAAAAACAAAAAAAAATTTTTTTTTTTAAAAAAAAAAGGAAATTTTAATGACCCAAAAAACCCCCGAATCCCGTTTCCCCCCTTTTGGACCCATTAATTACAAATTAAAAAAATCCCCGGAATGCTGGTAAAAATAAAATTTTGTGATTGTATAATTTAAAAATTTAAAAAAAAATTAATAAAATTTACATAACAAAAAAATTTTAAAAACATACCAATTTTCTGGGAAAAAAGGTTTAATAAGAAAATATTTTCAAATTTATAAAAAATCTAATTTTTTTTGATTTTCTGGAGGGTTCCCGGGGGGAACCCCCCCGGGGGGGTACCCCCCTCCTTATAGGGTGGTCCCCAATCCCTTTAAAACCCATCCCCATTTTTTTAAAATAACCGGTAAAAAACAACCCCAAAGTTTTCTGGGGGGAATCCCATAAAAATTAAAACGTTCCACCCTAAAAATTAAATTTTAAAAAAATTTTAAGTTTTTCTGATTTCCACTTCTTTTCCATATATTCCCCAATTATCAATCATACCAAAATTTCCCCAATTAAAATGCAAACCCCCCTTTTTTTTTAGCCAAATTTTTCATTATTCTAACTTTTAAAACAAAAAAAAGGCATTTTTTTCCCACGAGGGTTTTTTTTTTTAATTTTTTTATTAAGATGGCCTTATTTAAAAAAATTCTTTTTTAAAATTTACGTTTTTCCCCAAATACAAACCCCCCTAATAGCCCAAAACCTACCGCCAAAAAAAAATTCCCGCAAATAACCACCTTTAAATCCAAATAAATAATTTCCCCTTTTTGAAATAAATTTCCCCCTTTTTTTTTGGGGGGGTCAAATTTTGTACTTTTACCGAGTGGGTTTTATTCCGCATTATTTTTTTGTTAGCTGTACCCATATGGAATTGCACGTGACCCTTTTATATATAAAAAAAATGTGCCCCAGTTATCAACAAACTTTATCTGCTGTTTCTCACAGTATTTACTGAAACAAAACAGTGTTTATTGAGCCAAAACAGTACTGACTATAACATAACAGTATTTTCTGCAGAATGTGAAGACACGCTGTAATGATTCATAATTATAGGTATATTTGGCGGGCGTGTGTGTAGGTGTGGCTGATTAAATTCCTTGTCGAACGTTGGCAGCCGATCAGTCCATACCTGCCAACCACACCTGCCATCCACGACTGTCAACCACACCTGCCGTCCATAACTCACCCACACTTGACAGCGACACTTGACAACCTCACATGACAACCACACCTGGCAACCATACTTGACAACCACACTGCACAACCACGCATGACAATCACACCAGCCACGCCTTCCAACACATGTGCACATATACACGTGCATATACATTCATGTACATATTAATACAAGGGGCATACAAGAGGCTCTTGGCATGTACACCCAACTACTATAATTCCTTGTACAACTATGTATCATGTCCAGATAGACTATTATTATTATTATTATATTATTATTATTATTATTATTATTATTATTATTATTATTATTATTATAGGTATGAGGGCTGAGGAAGCTAAAAGCGAGTGAATCCAGCAACAGGCAGTTCAGAGGCATAACTGGACCTCTGAAACCACACATAAATAAGTACATAATCTTGCACGTGCCTATCTGCAGATGCCTCATTGCATACCTTAAATAATCAAATATAGGTGACTTATAATCTGACCTGATACAATATAAAACCCCGCTTAAAGAGGAACATTATGTAGGTTTATGATCAATTGTTCTAGGTAAGGTATTGTTACATTTTATTCCTTATCTGGCCTGAGTCATGTGGACTAGATAATAGACAAAACATTGTATCTGCATCTTGATAAAACTAAAACAATGCTGTCTAGATAAACACTAAACTTTTTGTTTTGCTTATTTTACTGTAAGGTGTAATGAGGAGCTCACTTGAGCGATAAACACTGTAAAATACGTCTTGTCTCTCAGTGAATTTATTTCCAATAAAACTTACAGGAATCAGTGAATACCGAAATGGAGTTCGTCTATAAACAGGTACAATACTTACCAGTAAAACTGCGGTTAGTTTCTTAAATTTAAGGCCTACTGACAGCGCCTCAGTGAGGCTTCGTGCCACCTGTACACTGACATCCGAAAAAACCCACTTGGTCTGGACACTACACATAGTCTTTATAAAGGAGTCGCATAGTACCTGTGAATGGGAGTTAATAGTTAATGGAGTAGCTTCAGTTCATTGAACCAAGACTCCCTCATACAGTTTTAGGTGTATATACTGATTAAAAAAACACCTCTTGCGGTATGCATGCAAAAAATATTTAGGAGTTCTGGTTAGAAGAAATTTAAATCCAAGATAACAATGAATAAGTGTTCGCAATTATTATAAATAAATATAAATGTTAGAAGTATTAAGGTTATATATACTTCAGCTTTATATATTTTTATTAAGGCTTTATATAGAGTATTCTTCTCAGTTATGGTCTTCATATTACAGAATGGATATAAATGCGCTGGAAAATATACATACACGTATCAAAAACCTTTCCCACGAAGATGGACTAAAGGCACTGAATTTGCACTCTCCGGAAAAGTGTAGAATTAGGAAAAACATGTTGAAAATATATGACAGGACTCGCAGCAATGGATTCAAATTAAACAAATCTAGATTTAGAAAGGTTATTTGGACGTATTAGTTTGACAGCAGTGTTTTAGGTAAGGGGAATCAACTCCCAGCTGACAGGTAGGTGGGTGTGAGTTGTACCTGCTTAGTCTGGGCCAAATAGCCTACTGTATATATGCACAACAACCACTTAAAAGAATAGCGAAATGCCAAGCGCTTTCGTGACTTCCTCGCAGTGGTTGTTCTGCATATTGTAATATCACCTGTTTACTGTGATTTTATTGCACACACACACACACACACACACACACACACAACACACAACACACACACACACACACACACACACACACACACACACACACACACACACTATATATATATATGTCGTGTCGAATAAGTAAAACTGGTCAGTTAGCAAGAGTTCATTTAAAATTAAGTCCTTTCTAAAATTTTCTCTTGTACATTTAAAGATATATTTTTTTCATTTATGTTAATATAAAAATTAATAATTTTGTACCAAAAGAACCTTAGAAAACTTACCTAACCTTATTATAACAAGCACAAATTAATTTAGCCTAATCCAACTAAATATATTTTAGATAAGTTTACAGTAATTTAATAGTAAACAAACATAATTAAATATATTTTTTTCGTTAGGTTTAGAATGATTATTGCGAGATTATTGCATACACAAATGTTCGCTTGCCTTATTCGGCAAGAATAGCATTGCTATTTAAGCCAAAATCGCAAGTATTACCTATTCGGCACGCCCTTAGGACGATGGAAGGCAGGATGAAAGACACTAATAAACATGCCTTCTACCTACTCACCAGGTGCCTGTCAATCCCCAAACTTACCTACTTCCTGAGATGCTCCCTAGCCTTCAGGAGTCCGAAACTCAAGGAATATGACTACCTCCTTAAGACCATGCTAGAGAGTGTATTGAATCTTTTCCTCGAAGATGGACAATGGTTGCAAGCCTCACTTCCCGTCAGGCTTGGGGTCTGGCAGTACGCAAATCCTCCCAGAATGCCCTACCATCTTTCCTATTCTCTTCCATAGCATCAAACGAGTTAATAAAACAAATTCTTCAGGACAACCTCAGTGACTCAACAGGAATACAGGACCCTAGCTACGCCAGTGCCGTCACCGAATGGGAGACTCTTGCTGCTCCAACACCAAAACCTAGTGCAGCACTGGCCTACAAACAGTCAAGTTGGGATGGCCCCATCGCTGAAAAGGTGCTTGACAACAAGCTTAGGGCTGTAACATCAGACAGGAAAACTTCCCGTCTCCAAGCTGTGATCGCACATCACTCTGGAGTTTACCTGGAGAGAGTTCCGGGGGTCAACGCCCCCGTGGCCCGGTCTGTGACCAGGCCTCCTGGTGGATCAGAGCCTGATCAACCAGGCTGTTGCTGCTGGCTGCACGCAAACCAACGTACGAGCCACAGCCCGGCTGGTCAGGAACCGACTTTAGGTGCTTGTCCAGTGCCAGCTTGAAGACTGCCAGGGGTCTGTTGGTAATCCCCCTTATGTATGCTGGGAGGCAGTTGAACAGTCTCGGGCCCCTGACACTTATTGTCTCTTAACGTGCTAGTGACACCCCTGCTTTTCATTGGGGGATGTTGCATCGTCTGCCAAGTCTTTTGCTTTCGTAGTGAGTAATTTTCGTGTGCAAGTTCGGTACTAGTCCCTCTAGGATTTTCCAGGTGTATATAATCATGTATCTGTATCTTTGGACTTCCTCCAAACAGTTCCCATTTCGGCAATGGGAACACGCCTCGACCCTAAGTATTGCAGTGGCTCTCTGCCTTACTGCCCCGATTCACATGGAATAGACGTGTCCTGTAGCTCGATCGCTGGCGCTCTCAGCTCACACACTGAGGTCCGGAGATCGAATCCCCGGTATGGCTGGAAAACATTAGGACGTGTTTCCTTAAGACACCTGTTGTCCATGTTCACCCATCAGCATAAAATGGGTACCTGGGTGCTACTCGACTAATGTGGGTCGCATCCTGGGACAAAACTGACCTAATTTGCTCAAAATTCTCTGCAAAACAAGCGGCTTTCTATATAGTAGTATGTCATTGATGTCAGCTAGGCCTATATACCTTGTACTTGTAGTAAATAAAGATATTATTATTATTATTATTATTATTATTATTATTATTATTATTATTATTATTATTATTATTATTTGCGGCGATGTGCAAGCCGACCAATATGGTCCACATGTCTTAATTGTTCCAAAACTAAGAGCTGGTATGCAAGACACAATGAAGTCAACGACATCATAAAGAGAACCCTTGCTACAGCTGGATGCCCAGCCGAGAAAGAGCTCCAATCACTAGCAGCCAACAACACCCACAACCCAGCAAACCGCCCTGACTGGATCACCATCTATCATTGGAAGAATGGCAAGCTCTTAGCATGGCACTATACCTGTGTGTCGACGCTGGCTGACACCTACATCCATCACAGTGTCGGGCGACAGGAAGGAGCTGCTGATCACAGGGAGGAGTACAAGATCAGCAAGTACAGGGACATAAGCCAACAGTATCAATTTGTCCCAGTGGGATCAGAGACCTTGGGATCATGGGGAAAAACACCAAGCATTTCCTTAAAGAACTTGGTCCCAGACTCATCGATACCACCAAGGACCCAAGGGCAGCCATTTTCATGTTTCAGCGCCTCAGCATGGCCATCCAGAGGGGAAATACATGCTGTATACTGCGCTCGCGTCCGGCTTCGGAGGAGCTGGAGGAGATTCATAATCTTTGATATATTGTTCCAATGTATTCATGTTTGTGTTTTCTGTCGATGTATTCTGTCTATTAATTAAGTTCACATAGAATATAAAATATAGGGGTGGTAGGAAAAGAAAATATTCAAAAAGCTCCGGGGAGAACCTTGAGTTTTCCCTGAGGTACGTTTATTGTCTTCTCTGAGGATGAGGGTCCCCATTCCAGCTATAGAGGTGGTACCTCCCTATATATATACGGGAGACATGTTGATGTGAGGAGAGGATCTTGATCCAAGGAAGTGGCGCTTGCCTCCTCTTCCTTGGGCCATACTTGTTTGCTACTCATTCCTACGTGTTATATGGCTCTTACTGATTTAGAAGTTTGATAATAATAATAATAGCAATAAGATAGCATTTCGTTCGGGTTTTTAACCCCGGAGGGTTTGCCACCCAGGATAACCCAAGAAAGTCAGTGCGTCATCGAGGACTGTCTAACTTATTTCCATTGGGGTCCTTAATCTTGTCCCCCAGGATGCGACCCACACCAGTCGACTAACACCCAGGTACCTATTTGCTGCTAGGTGAACAGGACAACAGGTGTAAGGAAACGTATCGAAATGTTTCCACCCGCCGGGAATCGAACCCGGGCCCTCCGTGTGAAGCGGGAACTTTAGCCACCAGGCCACCTTATGATAGGAAGGACCACGTTTACCTAACAACCATGTAAGAATTATTTACGTTAAGTAAGTAAGAGTAAGTTTATACAGGTATACACAAATACAGTTACATAGATTATCATACATAGCAGCATATGTGTAAGGTACCTAGGATAACCCAAAAAAGTCAGATAGAGTGACTTATTTCCATTGGGGCTTTGTGTATACTGCATACAAATGTTTTTTTTACAGTAGTGTAAGTTAATTAGATACAGGTACATGTAACTACAATTATCATACCTAACAACATATGTGTAAATTACCCAGGATAACCCAAAAAGTCAGACAAAGTGGTCTATTTCCACTGGGGTTCTTGTGTTTAGGGCACTTAAGTGTTATGGGCACGTAGGATGCCCTTCCTGTGTGTGTGTGTGTGTGTGTGTGTGTGTGTGGTGTGTGTGACTCAACAATCAATATTTGCACCAATAACTCATTACAGTTGTGACCGGGTGTGGAAGTGTGAATTGCTCATTACTCTATAATTTGTTCATGATTGTAGCCAAAGTATAAACGTAAGTAACCATTCTACAAAATTCATTACCTTTGTAACTTGTGAGCTCATTACCTTTGTACCTAGTTCAGCTATCAAAACTTTGGGGGCCCAGTCCCTGGACCCATTACGTACCTCTGTAATCTGTAAATACCTTTGTAACTTGTCATGATTGTGACCAGACTTACCTGGAGTTCATTACCTTTGTAAATTGTGAGTTCATTACCTTTGTAAATTGTGAGTTCATTACCTTTGTAAATTGTGAGTTCATTACCTTTGTAACTTGCTCAGCTATCAAAACTTTGGAGTCCAGTCCCTGGACCAATTATGTAGCAGGATGGGTATGGGGTGCATAATAAACATATTAAACTAACTAAACTATCATACTCCACCACACAGAGTACGATTGTACTTGAAGGAATGAAATCTGACAGCCTGAACTGGGCTAGTGTTATGCTTTATTGTAAGGTATAAGCTTCCGTGTTCGAATATTATAGTTTACGATACAATTTTATTATTCACTCTCAATATTTTCTATAATAGTCTGAACGCCGTTCCTGAGACACGTTAGAGAAAACGATTCTACGCCAGATACTCTTATAGGGGTAACTAACTAGAGTGCGTAAAATATCCAACACAGTTCTATAAAATAAAATACTGTACATTTTATATCAATGAATATTTCATTACAGTTGGGGAAACTGGAAACATAGAAGTGAGTTTTTGTTGTATTACAAATATAGTGATGTAAGATCAGTAGAAGGGCAGTAGAGAACTTGACCTGTACTTTATTTGTTATACTGTATTCTGGAGGGAGGGAGTAAGTTTATTCAAGTATACACAAATACAGTTACATAGATTATCATACATAGCAGCACATGAACCTGGGATAATCCAAAAAAAGTCAGACAAAGTGACTTATTTTCATTGGGGTCCTTTAGTATAGAGGAAGTATAAATATTTAGATATTAGGGAGTGAACAAGTCAGCAGATGGGTCTATAAAAAACGAAGCTAATCATAGAATAGATGAAAAGAGAAGACAGTTGGTGGTGTGCTGAAGTATCAGTGGAAAGAAAAAAGTTTATCTATGGAGGCAAAAGTGGAATGTATCAGTGTACAGTGGTACTAACATTTTTATATAGGTGTGAGAAATTGGTTTTATACGTTGCAGCGAGGAGGCTAACAGTAGTAGGTATGTCACGTTTCAGAGGAATGTGTGGTGTGAATATCATGTAGATAATTCAGAACGAGGAAATTAAAATGTGATGTGGGGTAACCATAATATATATATATATATATAATATATATATATATATATATATATATATATATATATATATATATATATATATATATATATATATATATATATATATATATATATATATATATATATATATATAATATTGTCGAAGATGAGGTATTGTACGTTTAGCCAACCAGTGGTTATTATCAATACAATACAAAGACGTACTATATGGAAGACTGTCAAAGATGAGGTAATCGGTCCCCCAGTCCTGCAGAATTATGTGCAAGACTGAGGTACTGACTACTACATCTTTGACAGCTTTCCATATTGCGTTAATAAAGCCACTTTCTGGTGAAACGTCTACAAAATATGGGTATACAGGTGTTTACCTGGAGAGTTTACCTGGAGAGAGTTTCGGGGGTCAACGCCCCCGCGGCCCGGTCTGTGACCAGGCCTCCTGTACACAAGTTGTTTATTCAACTTGTTGATATTGTATACCAAGGATCAACTGATATACTGGTTAATAGCCTGATCAGTCAGGCTGTTGAGGGCAGCAGCGCGCAATCCAACGCAAGTACCACAGCCCAGCTGATCAGGAACTAACATAAAATTGCAGCTTGAAATGTTGATGATGAATGAACTTAAACATTTCGCTGATTACGTTGTGTGGGCCTGACGCAGAGTCCATTTTTATAACATGTATAATTAGATTCCTGAAAATATAGCAGGATGCTGAGAGAATGTTACCAGATATGTTTCTGGTATAATTGTGTCAACACTGTAGTTAAGTGTTACAATAATCATATTAATATCACATAAATGATACTGCTGATGATAACATATAATTAAAGAAAGTAGGCTAGATTAAAACTATAATGATATAATCATATCAAAGTACTCTATTAAATTATATATGGTTATACATAATCTGATGGAACACTGCCATACATAAGCATAGAGGTATAATCCTATATAATCTAATATGATAGGTACATATAATCATATACTGTGGGTATCGGGAATGGGAGGTAATCAGTTTGATCCCAGAAAAGTGATAGCTCCGATTCCTTGGATCAAAAGACATTCGCCAGCATCAGTACATTTACCTTAAAGTGCGCAGTGATGCATGATGTCAACACCTGGTACTGGAACACTTAGTGGACCTCGCCAGAGAAAGCCTATGTTGGTATTTTGCATTTTTTTATATTTATGCAAAGTTTTTAACCCGCGTCGGTCATTCAGCATAATGAGTGTTGGAAGCTCGAGCCTCTGTGCAGGAAAAAATTGACTGACCTGTCGATGTGGAGGCTTACGAAGGTTGAATAATGAAAACCAAGAATATAAGACATCTTTTATAGAGTCTCAAGAAAAAATATATCATTGTGTTTAGTAGGTCCAGCCTGAGTTTAAAGAGAAAAAAGAACAATCCCACAAGCTATAAAGGGAAGAAAATTGAGAAAAGGTTAATTACCTTAATAATTACTTGCTGCCACCACCTGTTCTGAGTAGAATAACAAAGGGACAATAAGTCTGAAGAGAAGGGAGAATATAAATGGAAATGGGCCGGAACAGGAAATCCCAACAGTAGACATATGTCATAAAGTGTATTATGTTCAGTGATAGTAGGTGCGGGTTTTGATGAGTCTAGTTTTAAGAGTAGTGAAGTCTGTAGAGAAGACCAATAGGCACCCTATCAGACTTTCGACTCTTCCAAAAATATATTATACACAAAAGTATCCGCACATGGAACTTTCTTGACGTAACTCAAAAGGGAAATTAAAAAAAAAACAACGTGACTCTAAAGTAAAATGACAATGAATAAATATAATATTAATATTAGATTGGGCATGTAACGAAAATATCTGCA